AACAACATCTCATTACAGGTACCTGTATAGGTGGTAACAACATCTCATTACAGGTACCTATACAGGTGGTAACAACATCTCATTACAGGTACCTGTATAGGTGGTAACAACATCTCATTACAGGTACCTATACAGGTGGTAACAACATCTCATTACAGGTACCTGTATAGGTGGTAACAACATCTCATTACAGGTACCTATACAGGTGGTAACAACATCTCATTACAGGTACCTGTATAGGTGGTAACAACATCTCATTACAGGTACCTATACAGGTGGTAACAACATCTCATTACAGGTACCTGTATAGGTGGTAACAACATCTCATTACAGGTACCTATACAGGTGGTAACAACATCTCATTACAGGTACCTGTATAGGTGGTAACAACATCTCATTACAGGTACCTATACAGGTGGTAACAACATCTCATTACAGGTCCCTGTATAGGTGGTAACAACATCTCATTACAGGTACCTATACAGGTGGTAACAACATCTCATTACAGGTACCTATACAGGTGGTAACAACATCTCATTACAGGTACCTATACAGGTGGTAACAACATCTCATTACAGGTACCTATACAGGTGGTAACAACATCTCATTACAGGTACCTATACAGGTGGTAACAACATCTCATTACAGGTACCTATACAGGTGGTAACAACATCTCATTACAGGTACCTATACAGGTGGTAACAACATCTCATTACAGGTACCTGTATAGGTGGTAACAACATCTCATTACAGGTACCTATACAGGTGGTAACAACATCTCATCTACGTACAGTAATATAGACTCGTAACTTCAGCGTTGTGTCTCAATCTTCCAGTCAAGTAATGTCAAAACCATCTGTCTGACTTCTAAGTCATGACCTTTTCCTCCTTGTGGCCAAAACCAGTCTCAACTAACTGTCTATTGAATATGTTATATACCAAAGTGGAATGGAACCATTAACATCATCGATTAACCGTCATCTATCTTTAGACCAATTAACCTGTCATCATTAAACTTTCTGTACTAACTTCAGGCTGACCGTTTGGACATGAATTTCTAAGAACGGGTATCAACTATCACTGTCCAAATGAGATTTGAGATTCCATGTAACCAGGCCATGCAGGTGTGTATGTAACCTCAATATACATATTCTGAGAGTTTAGAAAAATAGCACTTCTTAATAAGCCTAACTTGCTGTTTTAAATAATGCCGAAAAAAAAACAGAGGCGGGGAAGATGGAAATGATATTGGCCGTCAAACCAGAGTAATTCGTATATATACTAATATACCAGAGCAATTATTCTGAAAAATTAATGAAATGTAAATATCACCAAAACCTAAATTATGCAAATTAATAATAACAAGTGGCCCAGAGGGCCTGTATCGCTAACCTTAATATTTAAGCAGTCATAGCAAAATATTCTCATTAAATATTATCCTGTACTACAAATATTTCCCTCGCAAACTTTCTTGGCTCCATCTGTTGAAACTACCACCCAAATATTGTCATATGATTCTATGCTTTTTGGTTCTTCTGAAGAAGTTGTTTGACATATTTGACCCCTGTCACCATATAAGGAGATCTAGGCTATTTTCATTTTCAAACTTTGTCAGGCACCTTCCGAGGAATCTACCAGCTACATATCATAAAACTTTGCTCTAAGATTATTCAGAAGAAGTCGTTTATTTGTTTGACATATTTGACCTCTGTGACCTTGTAAGTAAGTCAAGGTCATTTTTCTTTTTTACACTTTGTCGGGTTCTATCACAGGAAGCCACCAGCCAAATATGAAGATTCTTTACCTTTCAGTTCTTCAGAATAAGTCATTTGAAGTGTTTAACACATTTGATTCCGGAGACCTTTTAAGTAGGTCAAGGTAATTTTCAATCTCAAACTTTGTCGGGCTCTATCCCAGGAAACCACCAGCCAACTATGAAGATTCTATACATTTCAGTTCTTCAGAAGAAGTCATTTGAAGTGGTTGACACATTTTACATCTGAGAACTTGAATGTAGGTCAAGGTCATTTTTATTCTCAAAATTTTTCGGGCTCTATCCCAGGAAGCAACCAGCCAGCCAAATATAAGATTCTATACCTTTCAGTTCTTCAGAAGAAGTCGTTTGAAGTGTTTGACACATTTGACCCCTGATACCTTGAAAGTAGGTCAAGGTCATTTTCATTCTCTAACTTTGACTGGCTCTATCCCAGAAAACCACCAACCAAATATGAAGATTTTATACCTTTTAGTTCTTAAGGAGAAGTCGTTTGAAGTGTTTGACACATTTGACCCAGAGACCTTGAAAGTAGGTCAAGGTCATTTTCCTTCTCTAACTTTGTCGGGCTCTATCCCAGGAAGCGACCAGTCAAATATAAAGATTCTATACCTTTCACTTCTTCAGAAGAAGTCGTTAAAAATGTTTGACATATTTGACCCCTGTGACCTTGAAAGAAGGTCACGGTCATTTTAATTCTCAAACTTAGTATATCTTAGGAGAGAACACACTCTGTGTTGAGGGTCTGGAACTCGCATTTGACATATCGTAGTACATAAAGTACTGTGGGGTGAGGGTCTAGAACTCACAATTGATACATCTTGGTACAGATCACACTGTGTTGAGGGTTAGGACAGAACACACCCAGGTTTGTGCGAGCTCTGGATATTGTAAGTTTGTTTCAAATAGGAATATTTAGACATTTAATCAGAAACAAGCTAAGCCCAAACTTTGTGGCTCAGGAGAAAGTCCTCTGAAGTGTTTGACATGTTTGTCCCCTGTTACCTTGAAAGTAGGTCAAGGTCATTTTCATTCTCAAATTTTGTCAGACTCCTGCCAACAAAGCCAAAATATCATGACTCTAGGCTTTTTTTCTTCTTCGGAAGAAGTTGTTTAAAGGAAAAGTTAACGGACGACACCGGACGCCGGACTGATGGACGACAGAGGGTCTGGAACTCACACTTAATATATCTTAGAAGAGAACAGAATAAAGGTTTGTTCATTGAAAAATCTGTTAAAAATATTAGCCTAGTCATTAGCTGAGCAGTGTATGACATTGTCAGGACATAGTTGGGGAATATTACTAACAGTCAATAGCAGGTGAGCTAACAAAACATTCAGTTATATATTTTTGTGGTGACTGATATGTATTGTGTATCCTTGTGAACATGTTATCTCTATACATGTAAGTCGTAAAGAGAAAATAAAGAACCTGAATTTGGCATCCGCCAGCCGGGCTGGATGATTGTTTATAATCTGAAATGTCATAACAAGTGTCGCTTCTTCCCTCCATGACCAGCAGTATCCCCCAGACCGCACACGTGTACTCGTCTAACAGATGGTGCCACAGCAAGGAGGATTGTCTGGAAATTCCGCCTGGTAAACATGTACCAACAGCCGAGGGTTTCTAACTCAATTTTAACATATCTTTAATTAGAAGCAAACGCTGACAATGCTGAAAATCAAATCTTAATATGATTTTAGGACATATCACACTCTGTGTCGAGGGTCTGGAACTCACACTTGATATATCTTTGGACATAACACAGTGTGTTGAGGGTCTGGCTCTCACACTTGATATATCTTAGAACAGAACAGAATAAAGGTTTGTTCACTGAAAAATCTGTTAAAAATATTAGCCTAGTCATTAGCTGAGCAGTGTATGACATTGTCATGACATAGTGGGGGAATATTACTGACAGTCAATAGTTTGTTTAGCGATCTTCCACCAGCCTCCGGGAGTCATGTTCCCCTCATGTAATGTATCACCAAGTTTGGTCATATATGAAATCTTAGCCTTCCTAATCAAGGAAGTAACTTCATTTCTCTTTTTCCGAAAGTCTGTCCAAAGTACTGCATTATTAGTGGTTTTAGCTACCCTATGTATACCATTCCGAATCCTGATCTGCTTACGTATTTCATTGTGCATGATCATGGCTAGTCTTTAGAACGTCTGTATAAATCAAAATTGCCTTCATCATATTTCCAAATTCTACGTTTATAAGAGTGGTAAAAATGTGTGACTGCGCCATAAACAGGACACTGATCACTACAAACGGGATCTAGAACACCGGAAGTTGATGTATTTGGTTACTTACAATTATACATCAATTAAGGAATGGGTATTATCTGTGACACTGTGGGCTTCTGTATGAGCTGGAAGACATTGAAGGTATTAAGAATATTGTGAATATTTCTTGACCTGTTTGGCAGTAACATATCTTCATTCAGATCTCCCACAATTGTAATTGATATATCTTAGGACAGAACACACTCAGCTTTGAGGGTCTGTAACTCGCAATTGATACATACGGAGGCACGGTAGTTTAGTGGTAGGACGCCAGGCTCGTGACCGAAGGGTTGCATGTTCGAGTCACGGCACGGCACTGTGTTGTATCTTTGAGCAAGATACTTTACTCAGCTTGTTCCAGTCTGCTCAGCTGTAAACGAGTATGTGGTTGGGCAGTGCTAGAATTGTTAAATGCTAGCTGTTAGCGCCGAAATGGCTGGCTGTATGCACCATGGGGAGCTGAGAAAGGTATTGACTGGTTGCTAAGTCCCTATAACCACGGATAATAATTTGTGAACCGATTTGAGACGACCTACGTTGTGATAAAGCGGTATATAAGAACCTCAAATTATTATCATTAATATTATATATCTTGGGACAGAACTCACTCTGTGTTGATTGTCTGGAACTCACAATTGATATATCTTAGGACAGAATACACTTACTCAGTGTCGAGGGTCTGGAACTCGCATTTGACATATCGTAGTACATAAAGTACTGTGTGGTGAGGGTCTAGAACTCACAATTGATACATCTTGGTACAGATCACACTGTGTTGAGGGTTAGGACAGAACCCACCCAGGTTTGTGCGTGCTCTGGATATTGTAAGTTTATTTCAAATAAGGACATTTAGGCATTTAATCAGAAACAAGCTAAGCCCAAATAATTATTTTGTGTTCACTGGGTTACAGTGGCATAAACAACTATGAATACATCCCAATTAAAGAAGCTTTATTAAATACAAACTGAGGCAGACACAAATATAGCGTTAGAGGGGAGATAACCTGTAAATTGTTAAAGGGGAGACAACTTGTTGAGGTTTGTGTGAGGTTCACATCAGACAATTAAATTGTTTGAAATGGCCCACAAATATAAATGCTTTAGAAAATGTTTTAGGAAAGTAAGTTTCTATTTTGGTGTTTTCTGTATGAAACCAATCATTGTGTGAAGAAGTTTTTTTTAACAAAAACAGAAAAAGCAGCTGCTTTCATGAGAAATGTCTTTTTTTGATGGTTTAAAAAAAATAGTTGATAAAGTAACTTAATAATAATAAAAAAAAAAGATTTAATTGTTAATATTCCCCAAAACAATATTAATCTAGATGTGACTCACACGTTTATTTGATAGAAATGTTTAAATAACTAAAGACATTATAACATTTTAAATTTGTTAAGATGAACCTCTAATTACACCTCTGGCTTGTCAGTATTCCATTATTAAGTCCTTCACTTTGAATACTTGTTAACTTTACAAGTGAACCATTTAAGTTGTCTCCCCTTACAGTGTGTATGTCTAAATGAAACCACACTCTAAATTAATGTAGATCAAGGTGACATAACTCCAGAATAAATCAGGGAATACATTATGCATAGTAGATGGCATGTCTACATTATATAGATGGCAATTATATAAGTTTATACACTGATATATTAAAAACAAAAAACAAAAAATGGCACCATTTACAATGAAAATGCAAGAAAGGTATAACCCTAGTAGAAATGTTTAATCTTCAAAGTAAAATAAATCTCACATTGTATTATTATAAAGGTAAATAATAGGTTTAATATTGCATCAAATGTAAACTTGTATGTGTTAACGAGGTCAGTTATCAAACTATATGCATTGAATGCTAAATGCGAAATTATCAAACTGTTTGCACTGCATGATAAAGTGAAATATTGAAATATATCAGAGAAGGTCATTAGATTGTGATTTGTTTAAAAAAAACACTCTTTGAACATCACCAGTTAAATTTGATCAGTTTGCATTTCACAAAATACCACATACCTAAAAAGTTTGTAAAATAAGTAAATACTCAAAACAAAAATTGAGAATACACCATTTGAAAAACCTCATGTAAATAACTTTGTGTAGTTTCCTACAAATTAAGGAATCTCAATGTTCTACTACTAAACTACAACTAGATTATACTTCTGCAGTAAAATCATCCCTTATTGAAACGAGGTGTCCTGTAAATAGAAGCAGCATTACCAAACTTATTCTGCTTTCTGTAAAGATTCATTTCTTGCATGATTCGCCAAACCATCCTTATGTAGTTTCTTAAAAATAAACTTTTTGCACTTAAATTGCAATATTACAGCATTTCAGTTATTGACACAACACTGCTAAGACTAGATACACTAATCTGTTCACTTACAGCACACTGATGTTTTCTATAAGGGATAACAAACATCAAAACAACTCAGTATATTATCAAACAAACAATAATAAAAAGGGAATCTGTATATATATAAACATTCAACACTGTCACCAAAACCAGTAGGGTTGAGTCCTGTTTGAACCCGTGCAGATGTATGTCCACCTGTGACCCTCCCCAACATCTTGTAGGCCTGGTACTGTGTAGTACTAATGAGAAGTCCACCTGTGACCCTCCCCACAATCTTGTAGGCCTGGTACTGTGTGGTACTAATGAGAAGCCCATCTGTGACCCTCCCCACCATCTTGTAGGCCTGGTACTGTGTGGTACTAATGAGAAGTCCATCTGTGACCCTCCTCACCACCTTGTAGGCCTGGTACTGTGTGGTACTAATGAGAAGTCCATCTGTGACCCTCCCCACCATCTTGCAGGCCTGGTACTGTGTGGTACTAATGAGAGGTCCACCTGTGACCCTCCCCACCATCTTGTAGGCCTGGTACTGTGTAGTACTAATGAGAAGCCCATCTGTGACCCTTCCCACCATCTTGTAGGCCTGGTACTGTGTGGTACTAATGAGAAGTCCACCTCTGTCAGCAGAATACATGGAAAGTCCAACTGTGATAACCCTTAAACTCTACTAGTACTGGATGGTACTCAATAGGAATGTGAAAGTTTGATGTAGCATTTAAGGAATTAGTTGATTACAATTTTTAATCTTCTCATAATATATTTATATTAGTAATTTTATGTAGGATACAAACATTGTACTGATCCAAGCTGTTTTGAATTTAAACTTATTTCGGATTGATTCGAACAGTTAACTGATCTTGTTCAGAATCTTAAGAGGGTAATTCCAAAGTATTGATAAAATAGCCATTTTAGAAAGTGAAAAATGTGTCTGCCAATCTGAGGCCATAATTTGAATGATCTGTTGAACATTTGTTCATGATCAGAACCCTTAAAGAAAAGATTTACAGATGTACAGAAAATTGACCAAGTACAAATGTACTAATGAGCTTAGCTCTTATTGGGCCAGGTATTGTTTTGTGTCATCTTAAGAACTGAAGAGTAGATCACAACATAAGCACTAACTCATTGTTTCAAACAACATCTAAACAAAATACAAAAATATAATATTGTATATATACAATGTACACAATTGTATACAAGTTTCTATGGCACATGTGAGTTTGGAACTCAATAATCTAACAAATGCCGTCAGCATGATAAAATAAGTTTCTATGGCACATACAAAGGCAGAACAGTTTTCTTCTTGTGTTCAACATAAGGATTTATCAAACAGCTCAATTTTGCAAAAAATATTAACAGCCACAAAGGTATAAAAGGTCAAGTCATTAGGTGTAGAAATCAGATCTGTGTGGTTGCCATAGCTACACAAAGGTATCAGGTCAAGTCATTAGGTGTAGAAATCAGATCTGTGTGGTTGTCATTGTCACCAAGGTATGAAGTCATTAGTTGTAGAGTTAGATGTTGGAGGTCCATATTGGTAGTTATAGATGTCAGATCTGTGTGGTTGCCGAGGGTATCTAGGTGGTGACACTAAGGTCCTGGAGGTGCCTGTAGTTGGGATATTTGATACGTTTGTACAGGGCAGGTACAGCCATAGCCAGAACCACTCCAAGGGCCAGACAAACCAGAGCCACAATGACCACCACGTACGACTTCACTGTAATAACAAATTGTATAGATCTATAAAGAATGTATCTGTTGTGATCATTTTACATTTTTAAATAAGAAAAAGAGGCCTAGAGGGCCTGAATCGCTCACCTCAAAATTTTAGCAATCATGGCAAAAGATTCTCAATGAAAGTAATATGGAAAATAAAATCTTAGGGATAGAGTCATTACCCTGGGACAATCCTGCCAGCATGTGTGTATCCAAATCTTCATGCTCAGCAATTTTATATAGTACAATAGGGTGGGGATCTCAAAGGTTTCCATGTTATGACCAAGTGGACGACGGATGCCACGGTATGGCATAATTATAAGCTTACCTTGGTCCTTTGGACCCGCTGAGCTAAATAACTGAACTTAATAGATAAGGTTTATTGTAGAGAATATTTCTTTTTCCTGCTATCTATCCAACATCCTCTGACATGAACTAAACAACACTAAAACAACAATGGTGTATTGTATGTCGAAGCACATGATTGCTGATAATCAGTAAAAATCAATATCCTAACTTAGGTTTTACATGTTTTAGTATCTACATGAATTAAAAATTCCATCAATCAATATTTCTTAAAATTTCTTAAAATGTCCAGTTTGTTTTTTAACATTTCATAGAAAAAGTTATTATTATCCTTAAAACAAAAACCACCATATGGTCATATTTGATTATGTTGGATAAGTTTTTTGTAGTTTTGTTTGAACATATAAAAAACCAATTTTTTTCTCAAAAGACAAACATGGCATTGACATAGAAAGTACCCAATATACCGTTAAACAATGGTTTATCAACAAATCAGATACTGGTGTAGGACAGAGTAGGTAACCAATTTACCTGGAAACAAAGCTTTATTAACAAGAATGATGTATCTAGTGGTTCCTCTAACACGAAAATAAAGCTATTATTTCCAAACAGAGTGATGGTTGGTTATAATGTTTATTGACAAGTACTGTAGAATAATTTATTTTCGTGGGGTTAAAATTTTTGTGGTTTTTATAGACTAACCTGTTTCAAGGACATTATATTTTGCTAATTTCTTATTTTCCCCTATCTATACCATACCAAATTTATGTTTTCGTGGGGATTTAATTTCGTGGATTATTGTTAACCACGAAATAAACGAAATTTAATGTCCCACGAAAATTTATGACTTTACAGTAGGCTTGTTTGTCTTCTCCGTATGTTACGTCCTATTCACAGCTAAGTTAAGTAAGGGTGGCAGTGTGTAACAACAACAGATATGTACGTGTAAGAGCGGGAGGAGACATTGAGTCTACTTACCCCCAGCAGATTTATTTTGAGTTTTTTGTTAGATTTGGTGTTTTCTGAATGGGGGCAGGATATGTATATATCATGAGCAGGACAAGAGATAGTGCTTACTTACCCCCAGTAGATTTCTTTGGAGGGTTTGTCGGTTTTGGTGTTGTCGGAATGGGGACAGGATATGTACAGTTCAATTCATCTGTGTTGTCACCGCAGTCATTGATCCCATTACAGTACCAGTCAGGATGGATACACTTGCCATTCTGACATTTCTGTGTGGGAGGACAAGCTGAAATGACAAGTTCGATTATAACACCTAAACAACTCTGACATGTACATGTAGATTATAAATTGACAATTGTATAGGGTATCTATGTAAGTAGATGTTACAGTAACAACTACACAGGATGTTATAGGGTATCTACAGAAGTAGATGTTACAGTAACAACTTCACAGGGTTTTATAGGGTATCTATGCAAGCAGATGTTACAGTAACAACTACGCAGGGTTTTATAGTGTATCTACGCTAGTATATAATATGTAAACAACTACACAGGGGTTTATAGGGTATCTATGGAAGCAGATGTTACAGTAACAACTACAGGGGGCTTTATAGGGTATCTACAGTAGTAGATGTTACAGGAACAACTACACAGGGTGTTATGGGGTATCTACTGTAGTAGATGATGTATCTACAGAAGTAGATTTAACAGTAACATCTACACAGGGTTTTATAGGGTATCTATGCAAGTAGATGTTACAGTAACAACTACGCAGGGTGTTATAGGGTATCTATGTAAGTAGATGTTACAGTAACAACTTCACAGGGTGTTATAGGGTATCTACAGAAGTAGATTTAACAGTAACATCTACACAGGGTTTTATAGGGTATCTAGATCTACAGTAGTAGATGTTACAGTAACAACTTCACAGGGTTTTATAGGGTATCTACAGAAGTAGATGTTACAGTAACAACTTCACAGGGTGTTATAGGGTATCTATGTAAGTAGATGTTACAGTAACAACTACAGGGGGCTTTATAGGGAATCTACAGTAGTAGATGATATGTGAACAACGACACAGGGTTTTATAGGGGATCTATGTAAGCAGATGTTACAGTAACAGCTACACAGGGTTTTATAGGGTATCTACAGAAGTAGATGTTACAGTAACAACTACACAGGGTGTTATAGGGTATCTACAGAAGTAGATTTAACAGTAACAACTACACAGGGTTTTATAGGGTATCTACTGTAGTAGATGATATGTTAACAACGACACAGGGTTTTATAGGGTATCTATGTAAGCAGATGTTACAGTAACAACTACACAGGGTTTTATAGGGTATCTACTGTAGTAGATGATATGTTAACATCTACACAGGGTGTTATAGGGTATCTATGTAAGTAGATGTTACAGTAACAACTACACAGGGTTTTATGGGGTATCTACTGTAGTAGATGATATGTTAACATCTACACAGGGTGTTATAGGGTATCTATGTAAGTAGACGTTACAGTAACAACTACACAGGGTTTTATAGGGTATCTACAGTAGTAGATGTTACAGTAACAACTACACAGGGTGTTATAGGGTATCTACAGAAGTAGATTTAACAGTAACAACTACACAGGGTGTTATGGGGTATCTACTGTAGTAGATGATATGTTAACAACGACACAGGGTTTTATAGGGTATCTATGCAAGTAGATGTTACAGTAACAACTACACAGGGTTTTATAGGGTATCTCCTGTAGTAGATGATATGTTAACAACTACACAGGGGTTTATAGGGAATCTACAGAATAAGATGTTACAGTAACAACTACAGAGGGCTTTATAGGGTATCTACAGAAGTAGATGATATGTTAACAACTACACAGGGTTTTATAGGGTATATGTTACAGTAACAACTACACAGGGTGTTATAGGGTATCTATGTAAGTCGATGTTACAGTAACAACTACACAGGGTTTTATAGGGAATCTACTGTAGTAGATGTTACAGTAACAACTACACAGGGTGTTATAGGGTATCTACAGAAGTAGATTTAACAGTAACAACTACACAGGGTTTTATAGGGTATCTACAGAAATAGATGTTACAGTAACAACTACAGAGGGCTTTATAAGGTATCTACAGTAGTAGATGATATGTTAACAACTACACAGGGTTTTATAGGGAATCTACAGAATAAGATGTTACAGTAACAACTACAGAGGGCTTTATAAGGTATCTACAGTAGTAGATGATATGTTAACAACTACACAGGGGTTTATAGGGAATCTACTGTAGTAGATGTTACAGTAACAACTACACAGGGCTTTATAGGGAATCTACTGTAGTAGATGATATGTTAACAACTTCAGAGGGCTTTATAGGGTATCTACAGTAGTATATGATATGTTAACAACTACACAGGGTTTTATAGGGAATCTACTGTAGTACATGATATGTTAACAACTACACAGGGTTTTATAGGGAATCTACAGAATAAGATGTTCCAGTAACAACTACAGAGGGCTTTATAGGGTATCTACAGAAGTAGATGATATGTTAACAACTACACAGGGTGTTATAGCGTATCTATGTAAGTAGATGTTACAGTAACAACTACACAGGGTGTTATAGGGTATCTACAGAAGTAGATTTAACAGTAACAACTACACAGGGTGGTATGGGGTATCTACTGTAGTAGATGATATGTTAACAACGACACTGGGTTTTATAGGGTATCTATGCAAGTAGATGTTACAGTAACAACTACACAGGGGTTTATAGGGAATCTACTGTAGTAGATGTTACAGTAACAACTACACAGGGTTTTATAGGGAATCTACAGAATAAGATGTTACAGTAACAACTACAGAGGGCTTTATAGGGTATCTACAGTAGTAGATGATATGTTAACAACTACACAGGGTTTTATAGGGTATCTATGGTGTTAGATTTTGTATTCACAATGCATATTATAAATGGACGATTTCATAGGGTATATATGGTAGCTGACTACGCATGATACTTACGGTACGTTGTGTAGTTGATCTTGAGGTGGAAAGTGGAGTTGGCTTCCAGCTTGGACATATGACCATTGTGTGTGTACACAATCATTACATAAGAACCTCGTGTCAAAGTGTTCGGCGAAAGACCCTTGGTCATGTTGAGCTTGAGAGGTGGAGAACCCATTGACCCTCCATCATATATCTTCACAATATCCCTTATAACAAATGTATACATGCATCAGAAATTTGATTCTATCAAACAATCTAAAAGCATAATTTATGTCATGGACACTCTATTACTCTTTCAGGTATTAATTTAAATATTAAAGAACTGAATAAGGTAATTTGGTATAACTGTATCAAGTAATTCTGTTTTGTTTAAATAATCGAAAATCACTTTCAGTGTGAGCAACATTCCCTAAGCAATATTCTCTAATACATTCAACAAAGGTCTGGACTACAGGGGCTTAGCACTTCCATTTGCCCAATCCTATTCACTGAGATGTTTGATACGTACTGTGTGGTGTTACCAGTGATTGAGATGTTGAGGGACAGGATGTTGGAGTTGTTCCCCTTGGCAGGTTTTAGAGCTTGTACCAGCCACACACACAAACGGCTGGTGTTCTTTGCAGCTGGCCCAACATCAATTTTCCCACTACTTTTGTCTTTCATCTCTCCACCACAGTCTGTAGTCACAAAAAGAAAGAATCCTGAAAACTTAACACAAACTGACACAACCCTGATAATTTTACATAAAGAGACATGTCAGCTCTTATAATATCATATTCCAACACCCCTCTGTTATATTCCAATCCAACTCTGGCAACACCAACCGCTAGTCCTACAAAACAAGGAATTGCTCAACACAGCAATTCACAAAAGAAAAGATTTTGTGAAGACTAAATGAATGACACATCAGACTGTGTGGCTGAATACAGCCTCAGACCAGTATACAGTACCTACCCAGGTAAGTGTATTTGACCACAAAGCCACGCCCCGTTGTTGGCACTCCTGTGGTATTGGAATTGACACTGTTGAAGTCGAGTACCAAATTGGACTTGTTGGTTGTAGGCACGAGAAGGTCTGTATTGGTATACCCAGTTAGTGATGTCACCTTTTTCCCATCATCCAGGGTGAGACTGTGTTTTGGGTTCAGATTGAGGCTATCCACAGATACGAGGATGAATGGTTTCTTATTTGGGACAAAGGTCCATTTACAGTGAGCATTGAGTGGGTACTGGTTTGGGAACTGGGGGCTGATCACAATTCCAGTGACAGCATTCAGGGTAGTCCCACACTCTACAACACATAACACTGAAGTTTAGTCAACAGGATAATTAACACATATTTCAGGTGAATGGCTCAGGACAATATTTTAAAGATTTTATACACAGAGGAGTAACAAAGTGTTTCGACCTCTCCGAAACATTCATCAAAATTTCACTTTATCTTTTGCCCATTATAATTTTACTCTTATGCAAAAGTTGTTAAAAATAGCTAATATCAATGGATTTCTCTCATGCTTGACAAACTGACCATACACAATGTCCTAATACATTTGCATTAATATTCAATATTAATCCAATCAAATTTGTAAAAGATTTCTTTTCCTCGTTCAATATAGTTAAATTTCCACATAAACTTTTGTTGCATTTTCGACTTACTGGCCATGTTTGTCTGGTAGGAAGCGGTGACAAGGGAGGACATGTTAGCACTACAGCTGCCTTTGGGACTGTTGAGAACCATTCTATAAAAAACACAAAGTTCTTCATCAATACTGGTTAACATGTGTTTAATTAATATCTTTGTGTGGTTATTGAATCTAGCAGATTCACAAAAAAAACTACTACAGGTGATGGTGTAACTGGTTAATTCTATTGTTGTAAATAATTGTATTTTTGTTGCAGAATCGTTTTAACGAAAATCTGAGGGTGTAAAATCAGATCTCAGGCTCAACAAGGTTCTAAGCCCAATTACTACAACTGAGTAAGGATGAGGACATACCTGAGGAGTGAGTAAGGATGAAGACATACCTGAGGAGTGAGTAAGGATGAGGACATACCTGAGGAGTGGGTAAGGGTGAGGTCATACCTGAGGAGTGAGTAAGGATGAGGACATACCTTAGGAGTGGATAAGGATGAGGACATACCTGAGGAGTGAGTAAGGAAAAGGACATACCAGAGGAGTGGGTAAGGATGAGGACATACCTGAGGAGTGGGTAAGGATGAGGACATACCTGAGGAGTGAGTAAGGATGAGGACATACCTGAGGAGTGAGTAAGGATGAGGACATACCTGAGGAGTGAGTAAGGATGAGGACATACCTGAGGAGTGAGTAAGGATGAGGACATACCTGAGGAGTGAGTAAGGATGAGGACATACCTGAGGAGTGAGTAAGGATGAGGACATACCTGAGGAGTGAGTAAGGATGAGGACATACCTGAGGAGTGAGTAAGGATGAGGACATACCTGAGGAGTGAGTAAGGATGAGGACATACCTGAGGAGTGAGTAAGGATGAGGACATACCTGAGGAGTGAGTAAGGATGAGGACATACCTGAGGAGTGAGTAAGGATGAGGACATACCTGAGGAGTGAGTAAGGATGAGGACATACCTGAGGAGTGAGTAAGGATGAGGACATACCTGAGGAGTGAGTAAGGATGAGGACATACCTGAGGAGTGAGTAAGGATGAGGACATACCTGAGGAGTGAGTAAGGATGAGGACATACCTGAGGAGTGAGTAAGGATGAGGACATACCTGAGGAGTGAGTAAGGATGAGGACATACCTGAGGAGTGAGTAAGGATGAGGACATACCTGAGGAGTGAGTAAGGATGAGGACATACCTGAGGAGTGAGTAAGGATGAGGACATACCTGAGGAGTGAGTAAGGATGAGGACATACCTGAGGAGTGAGTAAGGATGGAGGTATATATGAGGAGTGAGTAAGGAAGAGGACATTCCTGAGGAGTGGGTAAGGATGAGGACATACCTGAGGAGTGGGTAAGGATGAGGACATACTTGAGGAGTGAGTAAGGATGAAGACATACCTGAGGAGTGGGTAAGGATGAGGACATACCTGAGGAGTGGGTAAGGAAGAGGACATACCTGAGCAGTGAGTAAGGATGAGGACATACCTGAGGAGTGGGTAAGGAAGAGGACATACCTGAGCAGTGAGTAAGGATGAGGACATACCTGAGGAGTGGGTAAGGATGAGGACATACTTGAGGAGTGAGTAAGGATGAAGACATACCTGAGGAGTGGGTAAGGATGAGGACATACCTTAGGAGTGACTAAGGATGAGGACATACCTTAGGAGTGAGTAAGGCTGAGGACATACCTTAGGAGTGAGTAAGGATGAGGAAATACCTTAGGAGTGAGTAAGGATGATGACATATATGAGGAGTGAATAAGGATGGGGACATATATGAGGAGTGAGTAAGGATGAGGACATATATGAGGAGTGAGTAAGGATGAGGACATACCTGAGGAGTGGGTAAGGATGAGGACATACCTTAGGAGTGAGTAAGGATGAGGACATACCTTAGGAGTGAGTAAGGATGATGACATATATGAGGAGTGAATAAGGATGGGGACATATATGAGGAGTGAGTAAGGATGAGGACATATATGAGGAGTGAGTAAGGATGAGGACATACCTGAGGAGTAAGTAAGGATGAAGCGATTAAGAGGACTGAGTTGACATGAAGAGCATACCTTAAGGATGAGTGATCCTGATTACGTACCTGAAGCCACTTTGGCTCTGGGAGTAGATGACAGGCACCAGCATGTTTTGAGTCTTCATATTAACAGTAATTATAGGAGGAGTGTTAGTTTTGGTCAGTCCTTCATACACAGCCAGTGTGTCGTTCTGACATAGTGTGACATGGCCCATCGTCAGGTCCAGCAGCCCTGGGAAATGTAACAACAGAATAACAATAATTTTGCACCAATGAACCAATATTTGATGACACCATCCTCTTGCTGTGTAGATTTTATCTGTGCAGCCGTGCCAACGATGTGCTGTAAGTATAACATTTGCTACATATTAAGAGCTAATATCCTACAGAGAAATTTTTCAGAAAGGATAGCAATACAAAATTATGACTCTTCTGAATATTGTGTAGACTCTCAGTCTAATATGTTCTCCAGATTATTGAATCTTTATTGTAGGGCTATTGAAAATAAAATGTAACAACCTTGTCATTACTAGCACTTAATGTGATGAGTGAAACCCAATCACTGAGTCAATTCAATGTAGCCCCATCACTGAGTCAATTCAATGTAGTTCCGTGTAGCCCCATCACTGAGGCAATTCAATGTAGTTCCGTGTAGCCCCATCATTACTGAGGCAATTCAATGACGTTCCGTGTAGCCCCATCATCACTGAGGCAATTCAATGTAGTTCCGTGTAGCCTCATCATCACTGAGGCAATTCAATGTAGTTCCGTGTAGCCCTATCATCACTGAGGCAACTCAATGTAGTTCCGTGTAGCCCCATCATCACTGAGGCAATTCAATGTTCCGTGTAGCCCATCATCACTGAGGCAACTCAATGTAGTTCCGTGTAGCCCCATCATCGCTGGGGCAATTCAATGTAGTTCCGTGTAGCCCCATCATTACTGAGGCAATTCAATGACGTTCCGTGTAGCCCCATCATCACTGAGGCAATGCAATGTAGTTCAGTGTAGCCTCATCATCACTGAGGCAATTCAATGTAGTTCAGTGGAGCCTCATCATCACTGAGGCAATTCAATGTAGTTCTGTGTAGCCGCCCCATCACTGAGGCAATTCAATGTAGTTCAGTGGAGCCTCATCATCACTGAGGCAATTCAATGTAGTTCCGTGTCGCCCCATCACTGAGGCAATTCAATGTAGTTCCGTGGAGCCCCACCATCACTGAGGCAATTCAATGTAGTTCTGTGTAGCCCCATCACTGAGGCAATTCAATGTAGTTCAGTGTAGCCTCATCATCACTCAGGCAATTCAATGTAGTTCAGTGTAGCCACATCATCACTGAGGCAATTCAATGTAATTCCGTGTAGCCCCATCATCACTGAGGCAATTAAATGTAGTTCCGTGTAGCCCCATCATCACTGCGGCAATTCAATGTAGTTCCGTGTAGCCCCATCATCACTGAGGCAATTCAATGTAGTTCAGTGTAGCCTCATCATCACTGAGGCAATTCAATGTAGTTCAGTGTAGCCACATCATCACTGAGGCAATTCAATGTAGTTCCGTGTAGCCACAACATCACTGAGGCAATTCAATGTTCCGTGTAGCCCATCATCACTGAGGCAACTCAATGTAGATCCGTGTAGCCCCATCATCACTGAGGCAATTCAATGTAGTTCCGTGTAGCCCCATCATCACCGAGTCAATTCAATGTAGTTCCGTGTAGCCCCATCACTGAGTCAATTCAATGTAGTTCTGTGTAGCCCCATCACTGAGGCAATCAAATGTAATACAGCGTAGCCCCATCACTGAACGATTCAATGTACTCCAGTGTAGCCCCATCACTGAGGCAATCAAATATAATACAGCGTAACCCCATCACTGAGCGATTCAATGTAGTCCAGTATAGCCCCATCACTGAGGCAATTCAATGTAGTTCAGTGTAGCCCCATCACTGAGGCAATCAAATGTAATACAACGTAGCCCCATCACTGAGTGATTCAATGTAGTCCAGTGTAGCCCCATCACTGAGGCAATCGAATGTAATACAGTGTAGCACTTCCACCGAGTCAATTCAATGTAATACAGTATAGCCCCATCACTGGGTTAATTCAATGTAGTCCAGTGTAGCCCCATCATCACTGAGTCAATTCAATGAATTCAGTGTAGCCCCATCACTGGGTTATACATGCTAGATAAATTCCAAATTAATATTCATGTATTGTTATTATTATTCAGGTAAGTTTTGTCCCTTAAACAATGAGTATTACACATAAGCTGGTGTGGGTTTGTGTGTGCGTGTGTGTGAGAGGAAAACAAATTACAACATTCTATATATTTAATCTTTGTACATAGCTACCGGAAATAGAAGAAGACTGATATAGGCAAAGCCTGTTGTCTAATTCTTTTGTCAATACTGTTCTAATATCTTCTTTAATTTTAACTTATATGTTTGTATTATATATGAATTGTCAATAAAAAACTTTTGAATTAAATTGAATCGTACAGGGATCAAGTTCAGTTCCTATTGTAGTACAGGTCACAGTGATAAACAGGATATATATATAGACATCTAATAGGGATCAAGTTCCTTCCTTACTGTAGTAAAGGTCATGGTGATATACAGGATATAGATATCTAATAGGGATCAAGTTCATTCCTTACTGTAGTAAAGGTCATGGTGATATACAGGATATAGATATCTAATAGGGATCAAGTTCATTCCTTACTGTAGTAAAGGTCATGGTGATATACAGGATATAGATATCTAATAGGGATCAAGTTCATTCCTTACTGTAGTAAAGGTCATGGTGATATACAGGATATAGATATCTAATAGGGATCAAGTTCATTCCTTACTGTAGTAAAGGTCATGGTGATATACAGGATATAGATATCTAATAGGGATCAAGTTCATTCCTTACTGTAGTAAAGGTCATGGTGATATACAGGATATAGATATCTAATAGGGATCAAGTTCATTCCTTACTGTAGTAAAGGTCATGGTGATATACAGGATATAGATATCTAATAGGGATCAAGTTCATTCCTTACTGTAGTAAAGGTCATGGTGATATACAGGATATAGATATCTAATAGGGATCAAGTTCATTCCTTACTGTAGTAAAGGTCATGGTGATATACAGGATATAGATATCTAATAGGGATCAAGTTCATTCCTTACTGTAGTAAAGGTCATGGTGATATACAGGATATAGATATCTAATAGGGATCAAGTTCATTCCTTACTGTAGTAAAGGTCATGGTGATATACAGGATATAGATATCTAATAGGGATCAAGTTCATTCCTTACTGTAGTAAAGGTCATGGTGATATACAGGATATAGATATCTAATAGGGATCAAGTTCATTCCTTACTGTAGTAAAGGTCATGGTGATATACAGGATATAGATATCTAATAGGGATCAAGTTCATTCCTTACTGTAGTAAAGGTCATGGTGATATACAGGATATAGATATCTAATAGGGATCAAGTTCATTCCTTACTGTAGTAAAGGTCATGGTGATATACAGGATATAGATATCTAATAGGGATCAAGTTCATTCCTTACTGTAGTAAAGGTCATGGTGATATACAGGATATAGATATCTAATAGGGATCAAGTTCATTCCTTACTGTAGTAAAGGTCATGGTGATATACAGGATATAGATATCTAATAGGGATCAAGTTCATTCCTTACTGTAGTAAAGGTCATGGTGATATACAGGATATAGATATCTAATAGGGATCAAGTTCATTCCTTACTGTAGTAAAGGTCATGGTGATATACAGGATATAGATATCTAATAGGGATCAAGTTCATTCCTTACTGTAGTAAAGGTCATGGTGATATACAGGATATAGATATCTAATAGGGATCAAGTTCATTCCTTACTGTAGTAAAGGTCATGGTGATATACAGGATATAGATATCTAATAGGGATCAAGTTCATTCCTTACTGTAGTAAAGGTCATGGTGATATACAGGATATAGATATCTAATAGGGATCAAGTTCATTCCTTACTGTAGTAAAGGTCATGGTGATATACAGGATATAGATATCTAATAGGGATCAAGTTCATTCCTTACTGTAGTAAAGGTCATGGTGATATACAGGATATAGATATCTAATAGGGATCAAGTTCATTCCTTACTGTAGTAAAGGTCATGGTGATATACAGGATATAGATATCTAATAGGGATCAAGTTCATTCCTTACTGTAGTAAAGGTCATGGTGATATACAGGATATAGATATCTAATAGGGATCAAGTTCATTCCTTACTGTAGTAAAGGTCATGGTGATATACAGGATATAGATATCTAATAGGGATCAAGTTCATTCCTTACTGTAGTAAAGGTCATGGTGATATACAGGATATAGATATCTAATAGGGATCAAGTTCATTCCTTACTGTAGTAAAGGTCATGGTGATATACAGGATATAGATATCTAATAGGGATCAAGTTCATTCCTTACTGTAGTAAAGGTCATGGTGATATACAGGATATAGATATCTAATAGGGATCAAGTTCATTCCTTACTGTAGTAAAGGTCATGGTGATATACAGGATATAGATATCTAATAGGGATCAAGTTCATTCCTTACTGTAGTAAAGGTCATGGTGATATACAGGATATAGATATCTAATAGGGATCAAGTTCATTCCTTACTGTAGTAAAGGTCATGGTGATATACAGGATATAGATATCTAATAGGGATCAAGTTCATTCCTTACTGTAGTAAAGGTCATGGTGATATACAGGATATAGATATCTAATAGGGATCAAGTTCATTCCTTACTGTAGTAAAGGTCATGGTGATATACAGGATATAGATATCTAATAGGGATCAAGTTCATTCCTTACTGTAGTAAAGGTCATGGTGATATACAGGATATAGATATCTAATAGGGATCAAGTTCATTCCTTACTGTAGTAAAGGTCATGGTGATATACAGGATATAGATATCTAATAGGGATCAAGTTCATTCCTTACTGTAGTAAAGGTCATGGTGATATACAGGATATAGATATCTAATAGGGATCAAGTTCATTCCTTACTGTAGTAAAGGTCATGGTGATATACAGGATATAGATATCTAATAGGGATCAAGTTCATTCCTTACTGTAGTAAAGGTCATGGTGATATACAGGATATAGATATCTAATAGGGATCAAGTTCATTCCTTACTGTAGTAAAGGTCATGGTGATATACAGGATATAGATATCTAATAGGGATCAAGTTCATTCCTTACTGTAGTAAAGGTCATGGTGATATACAGGATATAGATATCTAATAGGGATCAAGTTCATTCCTTACTGTAGTAAAGGTCATGGTGATATACAGGATATAGATATCTAATAGGGATCAAGTTCATTCCTTACTGTAGTAAAGGTCATGGTGATATACAGGATATAGATATCTAATAGGGATCAAGTTCATTCCTTACTGTAGTAAAGGTCATGGTGATATACAGGATATAGATATCTAATAGGGATCAAGTTCATTCCTTACTGTAGTAAAGGTCATGGTGATTAACAGGATATAGATATCTAATAGGGATCAAGTTCATTCCTTACTGTAGTACAGGTCATGGTGATAAACAGGATGTAGATATCTAATAGGGATCAAGTTCATTCCATATTGTAGTAAAGGTAAAGGTCATGGTGATTAACAGGATATAGATATATAATAGGGATCAAGTTCATTCCTTATTGTAGTAAAGGTAAAGGTCATGGTGATTAACAAGATATAGACATCTAATAGGGATCAAGTTCATTCCTTATTGTAGTAAAGGTAAAGGTCATGGTGATTTACAGGATATAGATATCTAATAGGGATCAAGCTCATTCCTTACTGTAGTAAAGGTCATGGTGATAAACAGGATATAGATATCTAATAGGGATCAAGTTCATTCCTTACTGTAGTACAGGTCATGGTGATGGATATAGATATCTAATAGAGATCAAGTTCATCATTTCCTAGTGGTCAAGGTAGGGGTGTTAGTCTGTACTTACAGGCACTTCCTTGAGGCCTGATAGACCAGGTACATTGAGTCCCACTTTTACCAATCATGCTATAGGATCCATATGGCCCTGTAGACAGCTGGTCACAGGCTGAAAGTAAAACAATTAACACTTGAAACATTTGATCAAAGATAATCATTTCAAACTTTACACTTTGTTCCCTTGTGTGACAACATTTTGTGGCAAACTAAAATCTAGTTAACACTGTTCTATGTTACTAACATTAAAACTATAGCTTAACGGATGTGTTATAGGTACCATACAGAACTTTACCTGGTAGGATGTGGTTATGGGTACCATACAGAACTTTACCTGGTGTGATGTGGTTATAGGTACCATCCAGAACTTTACCTGGTGTGATGTAGTTATAGGTACCATACAGAACTTTACCTGGTGTGGTGTGGTTATAGGTACCCTAAAGAACTTTACCTGGTGTGATGTGGTTATAGGTACCATACAGAACTTTACCCGGTGTGATGTGGTTATAGGTACCCTACAGACTTTTAGGTGGTAGGATGTGGTTATTCCGTCTTTGTGTATTGCAGAGTTATCTTCCCTTCTGAGCAGGTATTGATGGTTACGTCATTGGTTTGTGGGAGAAAATTACATTGTTTTCTCAAAAATTGATGACGTTACTCTCACAAACCAATGACGTAACAATCAATACCTGCTCACAAGAGAAGATAACTCTGCAGAATGCAAAGACGGAATAGGTACCATACAGAACTTTACCTGGTGTAATGTGGTTAAAGGTACCATACAGAACTTTACCTGGTGTGATGTAGTTATAGGTACCATACAGAACTTTACCCGGTGTGATGTGGTTATAGGTACCCTACAGACTTTTAGCTGGTAGGATGTGGTTATTCCGTCTTTGTGTATTGCAGAGTTATCTTCTCTTCTGAGCAGGTATTGATGGTTACGTCATTGGTTTGTGTGAGAAAATTACATTGTTTTCTCAAAAATTGATGACGTTACTCTCACAAACCAATGACGTAACAATCAATACCTGCTCACAAGAGAAGATAACTCTGCAGAATGCAAAGACGGAATAGGTACCATACAGAACTTTACCTGGTGTAATGTGGTTAAAGGTACCATACAGAACTTTACCTGGTGTGATGTGGTTATAGGTACCCTACAGAACTTTACCTGGTGTGACAGGTCTATAGCTGGCTGTGAAGGTCCCCAAACCAACAAAGTTGGTGGCTTTGATAAGGATACTCTGTCCACTCCCTGTTACAGTGTAAAAGTCAGACAATTTTCTGAAAAATAAAATTATTAGTTTCACATTGTTTCCTTTCAAACCTTAATTCCACGAGAAAATAAGATCTTTTACAGGTGTCCTCAGCCTCTCACAGATTCACCTGAATAGATTTTTTTATAAGTGATCAATCAAATGATGCTGAGGTTCTATAGTATAAAGGCAGTCCATTTGTGTTTAAATATATCTTTAGCAGTCTATAGATGGATTAATATGAAACTGATCTTGCACAGATGACTTACTTGAACACAGCAATCTCCTTGGACGGTGTGTTGTCATCATACACTTCCAGAGTAGCTTTGTTCAGGTTTCCCTTCAGAAAGGTCACATGGGCCTGAAGATGGATCAAGATGAGTAAGTCAATGCTAACTAAATAACATCTATAGCCATGTCCACAATATAATGTACACAGGAGACAACAATTTGTGAATCACCTAATACTGCTTACATATGTATGGGACAAGGAAGTCATTCTTACAGTGTAGACAACATGATGTTGTCAAAATTTTGGAGCAATGCGCTCCTTTATTGTGACACAGAAAAAAATACAAAATAGTTACATGACAGAAAGATGAGTTGTATCAGCTTTGACCTCCAAGTCTGACCCTGACCTTGGCCGTAGGACATTTCCTGGTTACAGAACCATTTAGGGTGTCAATATCATATGATATGTGATCGAGATAAGTAACAAAACTGTTTTGAACTATGACCTTTATTTGTGACATCAGCATTTGAGGGGTGAATTTGGTCCAGAAAAGCATTCTTTAGGACATGTACTTGCAACGGATATGTCCATAAGAATTTATCAAAATATCTACATTATTGAATGCTCCTCATAAAAACTTTAACCTAAGTTTTTGACCATGGCATTGGAACCAAAGTCTGGATACGCCCCTTATATAACAATAATTATATTTGTATAAATAATAGTATTTTCCAAATACCGTTACTCAACAATGTGATAACAATTACATTCTGTCCTAAAGATCAGTATACATATACCCAAGCTGTTTAAAAATGAAAGGAATGTTTATAAAATAAACTAATTTATTTTAAGCAAATAACTCACAAAAGTAATTAATTAATTCTGTAAGGAAATAAAGAAATTGTACATGTAAAAATGGTTCTTTACAAGTTGTCAATATATTGTATACATGGAAATTACTGTTTTCATTGTACCCTGTTCTGGGACTTATTTTGTATAGAATGTTCATGCTAGAAGTTAGAAATATCTTTGACCTCTTGTTACAACTAAGTGTGGAGTGAACATGATAAAATACTTTCATCAGAATATTTTACCTCAACCACGTATCATATGTTCCAAAAGTGATTGTGTTTTGTGTAGGTGTAAATGGAGTTTTAATACAATGACTTCTGTAAACCTACCCATTTCTTATGTCCTGGATACACTTACTATTAGTGTCTTAAAAATGAAACATGGCTGCATGGATGTCAATATTTTAAGTCCATATAAATGGAATTAGAAATTTACATCACGTACATATTTATTGTTGTAATGTAATATTTACATGTGACCCTGAAATAGAATAAAGCTGTAGTTTGTAATTTACTAATTGGAAGTGGTCAGGTAACCTGTTGATCGTTATGTGATTGTTAATGAGTTGTAGAGTGAAATACACAGGTAAGGTTAATTACCTGTACAGGCAAGCTGTGATACCTCCCTACAGCATGAAAGGGTCACAAGGATAATTAGTGGTAATGACCCTCTATTGTGTAGGTCAAGGTCAAGAGGTCAGATTAAGACCCTTTATAACAACAAACTCTAATTACAGAGGTCAAAGGCCAAGCAGGTAGAGATCAAAGGGCATGGTCCTCACCTCATAATTAAAGTCATTACAGGTTCTCACTTTGATCTTTCTCACCTTTGATCCCCTCACATCAAAGTGACGATGACTGAGGAGAACCCTAGCCTGGGCTTGGAGGGGGCATGGTCCTACAGAGGTGGAAGAGTATATAAGAACAGCTGATCCCTTTGGAACTTACAGTTGATCTAAATCCTACATTTCCTACACATGTAAAGCTACAGATCTAGTTGAACTAAAATAAATAATGACTTCCGAAGTCTCCACCGGTACAACTGACAATCAGCAACTGACCACATGTGATGTCATTGCCACAGCCTTTGACCTGCGGACACTGCTGGTTCACCACGATCGTTCACTCCAACAGATCAACCTTATAGGTAAAGACACTACTCCCATGGAATGTTATCTGTGTGTCCACTGTAAACACCTATATTACACCTCTTCTTGCATTCCTGTAAATTACTAGTATCAGAAATTGTATCTTTATATTATTATTATGAAATACAAATTGTAAACCTATAATTTTATTCATCATTATAAATTTACTCCTGTTTTACTAGTCACCTGTATTACATATTTTACATTTTCTTACAGACAGCTACATGACTAGACTGACCAATCAGGCACTCATCTACCTCAAACAGGGAAGAAAAGGTCATGCCCTGAGGATCCTCACCCATAAGGCCATAGCTGTGGGAGTCAAGCACCTGTATCGCCTCTACCGTCTACGCAAATGGTACCAAGTGCAGCATGTTGTGATGAGTATCATCCGTACACTTCAGAATGAGGCTCTACCTATTCCAACCCAACCAGACTACTCCAACCTTATGGACTTGGAAACAGAACAGACAAAGAGCATCTCACAGACACTCACTGTTGCCCATTGCAACCATTACAGGGAAGACTGAGTGTTTCCATAGCAACTAGTTCAGGATGACTTAGTGTTTCCATAGTGATGACATTAGTGTTAAAATCAAACTGTTTCAGTGATGACAAATGTTTCCAGCGAGACCACTGCATGACCTGTATTTTTCCTCATTGTTTTATATGGTGTAATAAGGTGTGATTGAGAACTCTTTCTTACTAATTAAGACTAAGTACCAGATCAGCATCAAGTCACTTATTACTGCCCACTGGTCAGCTGGTCAATGTTAAAGGTGATTGACCAATGTTTACTGTATGTATCTTGTAGTGCTGCATATTGTTTGGGTTCCATAATGTACCTAACTATTATATAGCTATTATCACTTGTGACTAATGTAGTGCTTATTTATTAACTGAAATAAAATCTGTATATACCATTACTTTGTGTTGTGTTGTTTATAATAACCTGTGTTAACCGACAAGACATTACATCACATTATATACCAGACTAGACAGGAGTTTTTATCAAACACTCTGTTAAAGCAGGTTACAATTTTACTGGTAGGTGTTACCATGTGAGCCAGATTTACATAATCAGGTCAATTGACCCCATGCAAGTTCATTGGGGCACTGTTACTAATACACACACAATGACAATGCTGACAAATGTATATCGTAAGAACATCAAACATAAAGCTAACTATAGGACCAAGCAGAGCAATTATTACTGTATATTTACATTCTGTATGCTTAGACCCATTGACAAAAATTACATTCTTAAATGCATAACACAGGTGTTCATAGAATCTCAGCACGTGGCAACTGATAGTAACCTGATCACACTGCGTAGTAATACACTACAAAAACTTCTCACTCGGAACGACCTAACTAGATGCTTAATTCTTACATCTTAAAATATTATTGAACTGTGCTTTGTGAAATATCCACGTATTCACGTGTCCTGTGCTACACATAAACATTGAATATGGAACTACATTTTGTTGTGTTATTGTTGTTGACGGTTGCTAAGATCTCTCACGATAGTGTCACATTTCCCCGCGAAAAAACACTGTTCTCGCCACTGCGTTGCACCCGTGGATAAGCAGGAACAAACCCTGTTTACTTGTTTTATTCGTTGTTATATCGATGCACTGAAAGGATTCGTCAATGTAAATATAAGGAATGATATTTATTTTTTCAACATTTATGAGGTTATAACCACAATGGGTTTTTGGACATATTTTAAATGAATCGCTAACGCGATTCATTCAATATGTCCATAAACCCATTGTTGTTATGACCTCATAAATGTTGAAAAAATAAAAATCATTCCTTAAATATGATCAATGATATAGGGTTAGGTACAATAATATCATCTTGATCAGGTAGTACAATTTCTTTGAACAAGCTATGGGAGAACAGGAATTATTTTAAGCCAACTCAGATCAGTTATGTGCTTATGGTTGAACTGCTTAGGGTGTTAAAATGTCAATAACTATAGAGATTTATTTTTGTTAACGACAACATATGTCTCCCCTTTAACAGTCTAAACGTTGCAATCCAGACAAGTTATTCATGAAAACTTATTTGACCTTTGACCACATGGTCATGGTCACAACGACCTAAAGACATATCCACGATGTTCTTTCTATGCATTTTAGAACAAACCTTCATGCCATTCTGAATATTGAACCCTGTGTACACACTATTGGTGTGAACCCTGTGTACACACTATAGGTGTGTGTTAAAACTGGTTAGGTCCTCTACAGTTCATCCAAGAATGGACTATCAAACATAACTATCAACAAAAAGTGAGCGATAAATCTGTTTCATCCTATTACCCGATACTGACACATTCCAAATAGATATTCTATATCAAGCAGTCAGGGTTTGATTATATATCATAGTATAATTCTGTAGTTTCTGATATTCATCGAAGTCTGTGAGTGGGGACATTATTCGGTGTCATCAGTCAAACATTTTTAATGTTACGTACTAAGAGTGAAAGAAAACACTTTTCCATAACTCTTAAGTGATGACAACCATAACTTTAACTATCCTATCACAGACCCTTAATATTTTATATATACATATTAAAATTAGATGCAGTGAGGGATTATTGGCATCACCTTGGTGTACAATTTTAAATGTTTAAAACAATCAGATTCTTTTTACCTTTGACCATGAGGTACTAATTGCAAGTCATCTGTAGAAAATACAGTAATACTGCAATTTTAATCAGATCTCTTTAATGGTTTAAAAGTTACAGACCGGACAAAATGTTCGTGAAATTTGGCATATATTCAACTTTTGACATTGGGGTTATAATAGCAATGACCTATAGATAGTTCATTGCAAAACACCTGTAGGTGACACAGGTATGTTTCAAGTTTCATGAAGATATATTTAATGGTTTAAAAGTTACAGCCTGTTTAAAATGTTCCTAAAAAAATGGAAATATTCCGCCTTTGACCTTGGGGTCAGGGATACAATGACCTAATGACAGTGCACTGCACATCGTCTATGGGTAATGTCGGTATTCTTCAAGTTTCATCAAGATATCCTTAAGTTTAAGTTTAAAAGTTATGGACAAGCTAAAGATCATATTAGAAGAACCAGAAGGGGAGACAATTAATGAGGCCTTGCAGTATACAACACCTATAACAAAATAGGTGTTAAGATCGATCATAGTGACCACATGAATGTCAGACAGTAAACTTCATTTGGAAGAACTTATGGTATATATTCAAACAAAATATACATATTATTAATAAAACTAGAAAATGTCTGTAAGACATAAATGCCCCGTTGCCATTTGAAATTAGTTTCAGTGTTCTATAAAAAGTTCCAACCACTTTGATCTTGATACCCTGAAACATGCACACACAGAATGTACTACACTTAAAGTTGATTTTAATATTCATATGTTTTTTCTGTATGTTATTACCATCTCCATAACATATTGAATGAAGTTGCTAAGTGTTTAAATTGAATCAGTAGATGATTTTCTATATATATAGCAACAGTGACCTTGGCCTTGACCTTGGAACCCTGAAACACAACAATGTCTGAAGTATACTCATACTTGATCTTAGCATAAAGTTTGACCAAAACCCATGAAAGAATGAAGTTGCTAAGTGTTTAAATTGAATCAGTTGATGATTTTCTATATATAGCAAGTGTGACCCTGGCCTTGACCTTGGATCCCTGAAATACAACAATGTTCGAAGTATACCCATAATTGACCTTTGTATAAAGTTTGTCCAAAATCTGTCAAAGAATGAAGTTGCTAAGTGTTTACATTGAATCGGGACGGGACGGGATGATTTTCTATATATAGCAAGTGTGACCTTGGCCTTGACCTTGCTGTCCTGAAATACAACAATGTTTGAAGTATACTCATACTTGACCTTTGTATAAAGTTTGACCAAAATCTGTCAAAGAATGAAGTTGCTAAGACATGGGTAACACTATATGCCCCCCCATTTTATGGCAGGGGCATAAAAAACATTTGTTGAATTAAAAATTTAGAATGTCACATTAGTTTTTAATTTAACTAGAAAAACTCTGTAAGACAAGAATGCCCCTGTCACCAGGTGAAATTAGTTTCAGTGTTTGATGTTCTTTAATTAGTAGTGTTTACATTGAATCAGGACAGGATGGGATGTGACGTGACGGACAATTGGGCAACGTACATTACATGCACCCCCCATTTCATGGCAGGGCATAAATATAGGTTGATGTGCCTGAATATTGAGTATAGTGAATGAAGAATGATCTTGTGAGTGTTTGATTTTAATCTCACAGTAACTTTAGAGGAGATTAAATCCAATTCAATTTGTTATAAATTTGGTGGCTCCTTATGGCTCAAACCCACCCACCCCTTCCCACCACAGACCCTCAACACCCACAGCCTCCTGGCATTTGACTAAACAGTAGTGTTTCTTTTTTATCTAAAGTAAAGAGATGACCAATAATGGACATGTATATATTGAATGTATCTAAATGAAAAAGAAATCATTTTGTAACATAGGTATCTTGAACTACATGTAATGCAAAAGTAGTGTGAAAGATCTGGGTAGTATATGTACATGTACAAATAGTGGTTCTGTCAGTCAGCTGACAGGACATGTCCCTTTAGCTCAGTGTTAGAGCGTTGGCCTCTTGAAACTGGGGTCGTGGGTTCGATCCCAGCTAAGGCACATCATCTTTCCACTTCTTTCTTCCTATTACAGTAAAAACGAGCTGTTGGATTTTTTGGGGGTTTATTTGAGTAAGGTTACTCAAGCTAAAAAGAAAACAGCTGTCCTATCAAATATCTAATACATTGATTCAACAATGAAGAGATTTTGTGTATTGTAATTTGCCATTTGGAAGCTTTGCGTCTTTTTATACTGAACATAAATTACAAACTTAATGGTAAAAAACAACAAAATTGTGAGTTGACTACATCATCTAAATTTAACACCAATTGATATGAGAAAGATATTATCTGTTTTGAGCTTTTTGTGATAAAAAGGCAATCTGATTAAAATCATCTATTACATGGCTCCGCCTGAACATCTGAATGTGCCGCAGTCAGGGTCACGTTCAAGTGACCTTTAGATGAACCAATCAGAGTTGCACTGGTTAAAGTTCGCCAGCGAATCGGAATATCATGGTTGATATATAAATAGCGAGGGGTATCGAACAGATTAGTTTTCCAAACAAATATGGCGGCGGGAACTGACGTTTCTACGACGCCAAGGAAAACGTACCCACTGGGGAATAATTGCGTAGGCAACACCGCCATACAGTCTTTTTTCTCTAATAAAGCTTTGAATATCTTTTTTCTGTTCGGGTTTCAGACGATCCATCTTAAATAACTTCAGAACTTTCGCATCATTCTCATCAATGTCGGACATATTTGTTACAACTCCGAGCGCCCTTTTGAAAGAGGGTCTCTGATTGGTCAAAATTTAATGATTATTTATAAATATAAAGGTCACCTGAACGTGACCCTGACCGCGGCACACTCAGATGTTCAGGCATAGTACGAAGTTAACGAAACCATGTAACATATGATTTTAATCAGATTGATAAAAAGGTAGCATATTTTGTTAATAATGTTAAAATCAACATGATAAACGACAAACATACAAAGTGTTGAGAACAATCAGGCCTTTGTCAAAGTTTTTTATAATGTAACACTATGGATGTCTACGCCATTACTTTTTAATCTTTTCCAGTTTATTCTTCTTGGAATAATTATTTTGCTTCTGTGCATGTGTCAGACATTGCTTGTTCAGGGATAGTACTAAAGGTCAAATGAGTGTATTGATAAACGGAAATATGAAGTACATCCCTAGTTGAAAATCCAATGTAGGGAGACAGTATCACAATTTCTGCATATTCTAATGTGTCTAGAGTTGTGATGAATATTGTATGTTTATTATTGCCAGAACAGTGTGTTCTCTCAATATTAAAGTATTTCAAAGCAATCCATGCATTAATTCAGTTGTTTTTTTATCAATGAGTCACATGTGTCCATTTTTCTGTACTTCAGGAAACCGGCTACCTATTTCACTACTGTGAAGTTTTTCAAGAAAGATAACTCTTATATGCAATTACTATGTTTATAAAATGTCAATTTTTAATCGTGTATAGATAATTTATTTTACACAATTTCAGCATTTATTAAATTGATATACATTTATGCAATACTAATCTATGGCACTGTCATTTTTATTGATATTATTGTCTTTTATTTTTTTTCTTCAAAAGTCAATCCTTTTTACATAAATTTCCATTTCAAATCCTTAAAATTCTCACAACCTTTTTTTTTTTTTGTGGCAGAAAATTTTCTTTACTTCGAAGCAATATAACTACAAAATTTGAAGAAATTCTACTGAGAAATGGTGACACAAACCTATTACCTCAAGTTGATGAAGCCATATCTGAGCCTGGAGAAGAATTCCAAGATGGCCAAAGCCAATACTGTCATAGTATCAAAATGACATTTCGAAGTTATAATGTCTATCAAGTTTCAATGATTTCCATCGGAAATGAACCAAATATACCCAAAAGTATCATTTTTCTATATAACTTTAGTAAACTTTGACCCATCCCCAGGGGATAAAGTGCTTTAAGACCCTTCTATCTATGTAGATTATTTGTATCAAGCATATCTTGGTTTGGATAAGATTTTTTAACTTACCGGGATTAAGCCAATTTGACCCCTTTTAGCCCTGCCCCTCAGCCATTGGAGGCGGGCCGGGGCCCAAACTGTCAAAGTATCAAACCGTCATTTCATTGTTATAATGGCTGTCAAGTTTGAATAATTTCCAATTGAATATGAACTAAACACACCAAAAAGTATCATTTTCCTATATAAAGTAGAGTAAACTTCGCCCCCTCCCCAGAGGCGAACATGGAGTCTGGGGGTCATGAAATTCACAATTTTGATAAAGCACCTCAAGACCCTTCTATCTATGACGAGTATTAGTTTCCAGCCTATCTCAGTCTGGAAAAGATGACTGTTGAAATTTCTGACTATATGACCCCAAATGGGCTCAGCTCCTCAGGATGAGACAGGGTTAAAAATGTCGAAGTAACAAACTGTAATCTCATGGTTATAGTGAAATCAAGTTTGAATGATTTCCAGTAGAAAATGAACAAAATATACCCAAAAGTTGGATTTTCCTACATTAACTAAATTTCACCCCCTCCCCAGGGGCAAACGTGAAGCTCGAGGGTCATGAAATTAACAATTTTGATAGTACACATGTACCTCAAGACCCTTTCACCTATGAAGAGTATTGGATTCCAGCATATCTGGGTCTGGAGAAGAAGATGTTTTAAAATTTAAGCCAATTTGACCCCTTTTAGCCCTGCCCCTCAGAGCCCTTGGGGGTGGGAACCATATGATTCACAATTTTGGTGCATATTTGACCGAGGAAGGTCCCTGCATTTTTTTTATTGAAATCGGATCAGTCGTTTCTGAGAAAAAGTCGAAAATGTAAATTGTTTTAGGACGCACCTAGCACAACGACGGACAAAAGGTGATTAGAATAGGTCACTTGAGACTTCGTCTCAGGTGACCAAAAAAACTATAAACCAGAATGATTTTGACCAAAACATCAGTGTAACGCAGATCAAACAACAGTAAACTACAGTTAACATTTCTCCCCAAAGGCAAATGTGTTATCCTCAATAATGAAGAGTATTTGATTCTAATACTTGAACCCAAAGAAATAATGTTGTTAAATGTAAGAGAATTTTACACCTACAAGGTATATAAGCCATGCCCTAATTAGCCCCTGGAGGAGCACCAGGGTAAAATAGCATCAAACTATCATCTCATAGAGTTTTAATTCCAATCAACTCCTCCCCAGCGGGGAGATAGACCTCAAACTCAGCCAATTGGGTATTCAATTTCCCAATATTGATAAAGCACCTTTTAAGATCCTTTCCTCTAAGAAGAATATTTCTTTCTAGCATATCCGAGTCTTATAAGAAGAAGACTAGAAATTTCAGCCTATAAAATATATTTTAACCCTGTTGACCCTGCTCCTCACCCCATAGGGTAGGCCAGGAACTAAATATTCAAAGTGTCAAACTGTCAATAGTGTTATAATTGCAGTTGAAAATCAACAAAATGACCCCAAAAGTATTGTTTTCCTAAGTTTGAATTAATTCCAATGGAAATTAAACAAAAGTTAGTCCAAAATGTGATTTCCCTATATAAACTATTGTAAAGTTTATTCCCTCCCCAGGGGGAAAGTGAGACCTCAGGGTCATGAAATTCACAATTTTGGTAAAGCACATAAGACCCTTCCATCTGTGAAGAGTATTTGATTCTACCGTATTTGGGTCTTGAGAAGAAGATTTTTGAAATTTTAGTCAATTTCGACCCTTTTTGGCCCCACCCATCAGCCCCTTGGGGTCAATTAGGACTGATTTATGCATATCATCCAACTGCTATCCAATACTGAAAATGCTAACCAAGTTGGAATTAGTTCCAATGGAAATTAAACAAATACTGGTCCAAAATATGATTTCCCTATATAAACTTTGGTAAAGTTTATCCCCTCCCCAGGTGGAAACCCGAGACCCCAGTGTCATGAAATTCACAACTTCGGTAAAGCACCTTAAGACCCTTCCATCCATGAAGAGTATTTGATTCTACCATATCTGGATCTTGAGAAGAAGATTTTTGAAACTTTAGTCAATTGACCCTTTTAGATGCATAATTTTATATACCAACTAAAAAAAAACCTGCTTAAAAATCAAGGGAATGCAGTCAAAATATGTTTGAACTAATGTACAATAGTCTTCGGCTTGCATTGTTTGCTAAATCTACATAGCCTTTAAATTATAAAGTCTGCTTTAATTGTTAGATATACGAAATCTTATTCCAGAAGTCGATCTACATTAATGAGTGTATATACAGTGTTTTAGAGGTTACATCACCTGTAATTATTAACGACTACAGTGACACCTGTGTGATGACTTTTGTTTGTCCTACCTGTAAAGTGTTGTGACACCTTTAGGACTGTAAGATTTTAGTGTGATTGTAATAGCATTGTCCCCCACCTAGTAATTAGCACCTGGTGTATGTGGTGTGATACGGAAAACAAATTAGCAAAGCCCTGTGTTGACCCAAAATAAACGGGGATTGTTACTGCAATTAAAACCTGTCCTTGCCCCACCTTGGGGACCATTCCGCCCCACCTGGGGGACCGTTCACAATCACAGGTACACATGTTTGTTTACCCATTAAGAATTGTGTATATGTACCTGTGTAGGGTCACCCCAGACTCATTGCACACCAGACACAAGAAGGTTTGATACAAGCTAGAAAGGCCCAGCTAGACTCAGTATAAGCTATATTAGCCTTAGTAAACAGCTGCACACCATTCAAGGTTAAGAAACAGATCACTGCTCCTATACTGCCATATATTATTGTCATTTAGAGTCATGTACGTCCCTGCCAAGCCTGTCACTCAGATGGAGGTGTATGCTATCGCTCAGAGACTCCGTGAGCTGATGTCGTGTCACGACAAAGCATCACATCAAATCCTTCTTCTCGGTAAGTTATGTCCCTTTAACATCCCCCTATCCTTAAAAAGAATAGAATTTAAAATTCTCATCCTGATTTTTTTAAGATATAAATATACTTAATACACACTAATGTTTTGATATGTATAGTACACGTTCATATATACATTATTCAAGTGTATGAATAGGTAAAATGTTATGTATTAATATGTGTATTGGGAAGATATATCTCAGTTAGGTTTGGTAAGATATATCTAAGTTATGTTTGGGGAAATATATCTTAGTTAGGTTTGGGAAGATATATCTTAGTTAGGTTTGGGAAGATATATCTAAGTTTGATTTTGGAAGTTTGATCTATGTTGGGTTTGAGGCAATATATCTTCGTTATGTTTTGGGAGATAGATCTAAGTTAGGTTTTGGGATATAGATCTTATTTAGGTTTGGGGAAATGTATCTAAATTAGGCTTAAGGTGATATATCTTAGTTAGGTTTGGGGAGATACATCTTAGTAAGTTTGCGGGATATATATTTAAGTTAGGTTTAAGGTGATATATCTAAGTTAGGTTTAAGATGATATACCTTAGTTAGGTTTAGGGAGATATATCTAAGTTAGGTTTAAGATGATATACCTTAGTTAGGTTTAGGGAGATATATCTAAGTTAGGTTTAAGATGATATACCTTAGTTAGGTTTAGGGAGATATATCTAAGTTAGGTTTAAGATGATATACCTTAGTTAGGTTTAGGGAGATATATCTAAGTTAGGTTTAAGATGATATACCTTAGTTAGGTTTAGGGAGATATATCTAAGTTAGGTTTAAGATGATATACCTTAGTTAGGTTTAGGGAGATATATCTAAGTTAGGTTTAAGATGATATACCTTAGTTAGGTTTAGGGAGATATATCTAAGTTAGGTTTAAGATGATATACCTTAGTTAGGTTTAGGGAGATATATCTAAGTTAGGTTTAAGATGATATACCTTAGTTAGGTTTGGGGAGATATATCTTATTTAGGATTGGGGTGATATATCTAATTTACGTTTGGGGAGGTAGATCTTAGTTTTGTTTTGAGAGATAGATCTAAGTCAGTATTTGGGGAATATATATAAATTAGGTTTTTTGGAATTATATCTTAGTTATGTTTGGGGAGATAGAAGATCTAAGTTAGGTTTGGGAAGATATATCTTAGTTAGGTTTGAGGAGATAGATCTAAGTCAGTTTAAGGGGGAAATATCTAAATTAGGTTTTTTGGTAATATATCTTAGTTAGGTTTGGGGAGATAGAAGATCTAAGTTAGGTTTGGGGAGATATATCTAATTTAGGTTTTGGGTAATATATCTTAGTTAGGTTTGGGGAGATATATCTAAGTTAGGTTTCAAGAGATATATCTAAGTTATGTTTAAGGTTATATTTCTTACTTAGGTTTGAGGAGATATATCTTAGTTAGGTTTTGGGAAATATATCTTAGTTAGGTTTGGGGAGATATATCTAAGTTAGGTTGGAAGAGATATATCTAAGTTATGTTTGAGGTGATATTTCTTAGTTAGGTTTGAGGAGATATATCTTAGTTAGGTTTTGGGTGATATATCTTAGTTAGGTTTGGGGAGATATATCTAAGTTAGGTTTGGGGAGATATATCTGAGTTAGGTTTAGGGAGATAGATATAAGAAAGGTTTGGAGAGATATATCTTAATTAGGTTTTGGGATATATCTAAGTTAGGTTTGAAGATATATATATATAAGTTAGGTTTGAAGAGATATATCTAAGCTAGGTTTTGGGAGATAGATATATCTAAGCTAGGTTTTGGGAGATATATCTAAGTTAGGTTTGAAGAGATATATCTTAGTTAGGTTTGGGGAGATAGATCTTAGTTAGGTTTTGGGAGATAGATCTTAGCTAGGTTTGGGGAGATAGATCTTAGCCAGAGTTTGGGAGATATATCTAAGTTAGGTTTGGGGAAATGTATCTTAGTTAGGTTTTGGGAGATAGATCTTAGCTAGGTTTGGGGAGATATGTCTTAGTTAGGTTTGGGGAAATATATCTAAGCTAGGTTTTGGGAGATAGATATATCTAAGCTAGGTTTGGGGAGATATATCTTAGTTAGGTTTTGGGAGACAGATCATGGTTAGGTTTTGGGAGATAGATCTTAGTTAGGTTTGGGGAGATAGATCTTAGCTAGGTTTTGGGGAGATATATCTTAGTTAGGTTTGGGGAAATATATCTAAGCTAGGTTTGGTGAGTTAAATCTTAGTTAGGTTTGGGGAGATATATCTTAGTTTGGTTTGAGGAGATAAATCTTAGTTCAGTTTGGGGGAGATAGTTCTAAGTAAGGTGAGGGGAGATAAAACTAAGTGAAGTTAGGAGAGAGAGTTCTCAATTAGGTTTTGAGGAAAAAGTACTCACTTAGGTTTGGGGGAAATATTATTAAAGGTTTGGATAGTGCTCAGTTATGTTTGGGAGATAGTACTCAGTTATGTTTGGGGGAGATAGTACTCAGTTATGTTTGGGGGAGATAGTACTCAGTTATGTTTGGGAGATAGTTATGTTTGGGGGAGATAGTACTCAGTTATGGTTGGGAGATAGTACTCAATTATGTTTGATTTATAGTACTCAGTTATGTTTGGGGGAGATAGTACTCAGTTATGTTTGGGGGAGATAGTACTCAGTTATGTTTGGGTTATAGTACTCAGCTATGTTTGGGGGAGATAGTACTCAGTTATGTTTGGGGGAGATAGTACTCAGCTATGTTTGGGAGATAGTACTCAGTTATGTTTGGGAGAAAGTACTCAGTTATGTTTGGCTTATAGTACTCAGTTATGTTTGGGAGACAGTACTCAGGTAATGTTTGGGTTATAGTACTCAGTAATGTTTGGGAGATAGTACTCAGATAATTTAAGGGGAAATAGTACTCAGTTATGTTTGGGAGATAGTACTCAGGTAATGTTTGGGTTATAGTACTCAGTTATGTTTGGGAGATAGTACTCAGATAAGTTAAGGGGAAATAGTACTCAGTTATGTTTAGGAGATATTACTCAGCTATGTTTGGGAGATAGTACTCAGCTATGTTTGGGAGATAGTACTCCGTTATGTTTGGGAGAGAGTACTCAGTTATGTTTGGGAGATAATACTTTGGGAGATAGTACTCATTTAGGTTTGCAGGAGATAGTACTCAATTAGGTTTGCGGGAGATAGTACTCAATTAGGGTTGCGGGAGATAGTATTCATTTAGGTTTGCGGGAGATAGTACTCAATTAGGTTTGCGGGAGATAGGACTCAATTAGGTTTGCGGGAGATAGTACTCAATTAGGGTTGCGGGAGATAGTACTCAATTAGGTTTGCGGGAGAGAGATAGTACTCAATTAGGGTTGTGGGAGATAGTACTCAATTAGGTTTGCGGGAGATAGTACTCAATTAGGTTTGCGGGAGATAGTACTCATTTAGGTTTTCGGGAGATAGTACTCAATTAGGTTTGCGGGAGATAGTACTCTGATAAGTTTTAGGGAGAAAGTTTTCAGTTATGTTCAGGAGATGGCACTCAGTGTTAGGTTTTGGGAGACAGTACTCAGTTCAGTTAGGGGGAGATATAGTACTCAGTTCAGTTAGGGGGAGATATAGTACTCACATAGTTAGGGGGAGATATAGTACTCACATAGTTAGGGGGAGATATAGTACTCACATAGTTAGGGGCAGATATAGTACTCACATAGTTAGGGGCAGATATAGTACTCACATAGTTAGGGGCAGATATAGTACTCACATAGTTAGGGGGAGATATAGTACTCACATAGTTAGGGGGAGATATAGTACTCACATAGTTAGGGAGAGATATAGTACTCAAATAGTTAGGGGGAGATATAGTACTCACATAGTTAGGGGCAGATATAGGGGGAGATATAGTACTCACATAGTTAAGGGTAGATATAGTACTCACATAGTTAGGGAGAGATATAGTACTCACATAGTTAGGGGGAGATGTAGTACTCACATAGTTAGGGGGAGATATAGCACTCACATAGTTAGGGGGAGATATAGTACTAACATAGTTAGGGGCAGATATAGTACTCACATAGGTAGGGGCAGATATAGTACTCACATAGTTAGGGGCAGATATAGTAATCACATAGTTAGGGGCAGATATAGGGGGAGATATAGTACTCACATAGTTAAGGGTAGATATAGTACTCACATAGTTAGGGGCAGATATAGGGGGAGATATAGTACTCACATAGTTAAGGGTAGATATAGTACTCACATAGTTAGGGGCAGATATAGTACTCACATAGGTAGGGGCAGATATAGTACTCACATAGTTAGGGGGAGATATAGTACTCACATAGTTAGGGGGAGATATAGTACTCACACAGTTTAGGGGCAGATATAGTACTCACATAGTTAGGGGCAGATATAGTTCTCACATAGTAGGGGCAGATAAAGTACTCACATAGTTAGGGGGAGATATAGTACTCACATAGTTAGGGGCAGATATAGTTCTCACATAGTAGGGGCAGATATAGTACTCACATAGTTAGGGGGAGATATAGTAATCACAGAGTTAGGGGCAGATATAGTACGCAGATAGTTAGGGGCAGATATAGTTCTCACATAGTAGGGTCAGATATAGTACTCACATAGTGGGGGCAGATATAGTACTCACATAGTAGGGGCAGAAATAGTACTCACATAGTTAGGGGGAGATATCGTACTCACATAGTTAGGGGCAAATATAGTACTCACATAGTTAGGTGGAGATATAGTACTCACATAGCTAGGGGGAGATATAGTACTCACACAGTTTAGGGGCAGATATAGTACTCCCATAGTAGGGGCAGATATAGTAATCACATAGTTAGGGGGAGATATAGTACTCACATAGTTAGGGGCAGATATAGTACTCACATAGTTTGTAAATGTGTTACCTACTGGTGTTTTTCATAAAATGTTGAAAGCATCACACTGTTAATTAACCATTACTAATGAGATAATTTTGTTCCAGTTTCATTAGGAAAACTTTTGACATCAACAGAAATTAACAAATTCACTTATGGTATAATTTTTTGTAATCAATAAAGTTTGGTCGCTTGCCTGGTAATCATAGACTTTGAAAATATTGTGAATATATTTTTTAACTTATAAATGATGTTGACCTTCCAGATTGTCGTATTAGAGAAAATGTCCGTCGCCATCGCCGACTGTCTCCCTCCCCAGTATTCTCCCAATTTCGTATTCGCCTGGAGGAACGTATCAGTATCTATGAGTGGATGCGGGAAGCTTACGATGAGTATCGTCATGTCAAGTGGGTCACAATCCAGCAGGTCATCTTCACCATGTTCAATGGTTACTACGTCCCCCAAACCATCAACAGCATCATCTCCATAGCAACGCACCACCTGTATAGCGGCACCGCCAACGACAGCATGGAGCTTGACAGTGATGATGACGAGGATGAAGAGGCGATGGACGTACTGCCAGCTATGGACGGATCCTTTGTGTCATATCAGGGTGATAGATTTATGTGATTTCTGTACAGTGGTAGGGACTCTGGCCAATCTAGTGCATTAACTTTATTTCACAGGTGCTTTCGCCAGTCTTGTGCTATGACTTTGCCTTACGCTGACAAGTGATTATACACAGAAAGCTAGCCAACGATATGGTGACAATTACTGTGTTTGACATTTAGTGTAATTTGTATGTGAAAAGTGAAACAAAGCCAGTGTGGTGAAAATCAGCATATGACATATTTTGATATAAGTAAAGTGCAGTGAAAATAGGACGTTAAAAGGACATCAAGAAAACCATCAATTAAATGAACTGATGAAAAAAACCATGAAATTATATCTTTATTAATTTTGAGGTGTAAATGGAATATCCTATTATTCAACAATTTCTATAAAAGTGTGATAATCAATATCCTTGTTATCTAACATAGCTCACTTAACTTTTAACTGACGTCTTCAGTAGCCGCCATGTTAGATCTAATTAGAGATTATTAGTTGCTTATATTAATTATAATTTGTATTTTTGGAATGGTTTTAAGATATTGTTTTACATTGTTCAGATAAATGTTATTTGTATTCTCACGATAGATTTTGTTATAGGTGTACTTTGTATCACCATTTGTATGTGGTTGTTATCAAAAATATCTTTTGTATTGTCAGTATATTTCTTATCATAGATGTCTGTTGAATGTCAGGATGGTTATTATTATCAAAGCTGTTTTGTAGTCAGGATACTTTTTAACAAAGATTCTTTATATGTATTGTTAGGACATTTTTATATCATTCATTTTTCTATTGCTAGGATGGGTTTTATCATCTTTTTAGGAATTATTTAATCATAAAAGTTTATTTTTTTAGCACTTTTTTATATATGTGCATGGTGTTTTAGTTCATCTATAGCTAACATCAAAGACATTGTATTTATTTAGTGTTTCATCTCAGTACACATACTGTATAGTGCCCTCATTGTATCCAGTCCCGTCTCTATATTAACCTCTCCCTCTCATGTGTCCTCACTGTATAGTGCCCTCATTGTGTACAGTCCCGTCTCTATATTAACCTCTCAATCTCATGTGTCCTCACTGTATAGTGCCCTCAGTGTATACAGTCCCGTCTCTATATTAACCTCTCACCCTAAGGTGTCCTCACGGTATAGTGCCCTCATTGGATACAGTCCCGTCTCTATATCAACCTCTCACTCTCATGTGTCCTCACTGTCTAGTGCCCTCATTGTATACAGTCCCGTCTCTATATAAACCTCTCACCCTAAGGTGTCCTCACTGTATAATGCCCTCATTGTATACAGTCCCGTCTCTATATTAACCTCTCAATCTCATGTGTCCTCACTGTATAGTGCCCTCATTGTATACAGTCCCGTCTCTATATTAACCTCTCACCCTAAGGTGTCCTCACTGTATAGTGCCCTCATTGTATACAGTCCCGTCTCTATATAAACCTCTCACCCTAAGGCGTCCTCACTGTATAGCGCCCTCATTGTATACAGCCCCGTCTCTATATTAAACTCTCACTCTAAGATGTTTTGTCGCTGTATAGTGCCCTCAGTGTATACAGTCCCGTCTCTATTTTAACCTCTCACTCTCATGTGTCCTCACTGTATAGTGCCCTCATTGTCAACAGTCCCGTCTCTATATTAACCTCTCACTCTAAGATGTTTTGTCACTGTATAGTTCCCTCATTGTATACAGTCCTGTCTCTATATTAACCTCTCTCTCTAAGATGTTTTGTCACTGTATAGTGCCCTCATTGTATACAGTCCCGTCTCTATATTAACCTCTCACTCTAAGATGTCCTCACTGTATAATGCCCCGTCTTCATATGACCCTAACTGTTGCGAGGACACCAACAAAGAAATTATATAACACCTTTACTGAGAAGTGTATTCACTGTAAAACACCTCTGCTGTATATACCCTCATTACACAGTGCCCCCACCTCAATGTCTTCAATGTAAAATGTGTTCATTATATTATGATATCTCTATGTAATGTCCTTATAGTATAGTGTCACCACTTCATAGTGCTCTCATTACATAGACAGTGCCCTCATTACATAGACAGTGCCCTCATTATATAGATAGTGCCCTCCTTACATAGATAGTGCCCTCATTACATAGATAGTGCCCTCATTACATAGATAGTGCCCTCCTTACAAAGAAAGTGCCCTCATTACATAGATAGTGCCCTCCTTACAAAGAAAGTACCCTCATTACATAGATAGTGCCCTCCTTACAAAGATAGTACTCTCATCACATAGATAGTGCCCTCCTTACAAAGATAGTGCCCTCATTACATAGATAGTGCCCTCCTTAAAAAGATAGTACCCTCATCACATAGATAGTGCCCTCCTTACAAAGATATTACCCTCATTACATAGATAGTGCCCTCATTACATAGATAGTGGCCTCCTTACAAAGATAGTGCCCTCCTTACAAAGATAGTACCCTCATCACATAGATAGTGCCCTCCTTACAAAGATATTACCCTCATTACATAGATAGTGCCCTCATTACATAGATAGTGGCCTCCTTACAAAGATAGTGCCCTCCTTACAAAGATAGTGCCCTCCTTACAAAGATAGTACCCTCATCACATAGATAGTGCCCTCCTTACAAAGAAAGTACCCTCATTACATAGATTGACTATAAGTGCCCTCATTGTATGGTTCCTCTATATCATCCCCTCACTCTATGGTGCCCTAAATGTGTTGTGCATTCACTGTATAGCACTTACATGGCATACTTCCTAATTACATAGTGCTCTCACTTCTGTGTCTTCAATGTAAAATGTGTTCATTATATAGTGCCATCTTTATGTAATGTCCTGATAGTATAGTACACTACAGGTACAGGTCTCTCATTGCTTGGTGTTTTTACTGCGTATTGCAAGATATATGCAATTATAGTTGGATCACATGCAAATATTTAACAGTAATTTATCAAGCAATTAAGGTCTAGTGGAGCTACACATGCTGTACAGGAACTTCAAATGATGAGGGTCTAGTCTCCACACATTTTGTAGCATTAATATTGGTGTAGTGTTCTAGTGCTAAGATTGTTAATCAATAAAACTCTATTGTTTATATTATTTCTTTGTTTGTTTCTATATCGCATGCATAAGAACAACAGTGAAATGCAAACTACAATTCAAAATTTGGTATCACTACTCAATGGAGAAAAAGTTAGAATTGAAAAGGAATGGCTAATACGCATACTATCCTTCACTCACACTGTGTGTGTTGATAACAATAAAAATTCATGAATTTTGGAGAAAAAAATTGTAGGAGGAGCTTTCCAGACAAGATTCTACCTACAAGCAGGAAGTCTAAATATGTATTGATGTATCGATTTGCAAACTGTTTCCAAAATTTTTAACATGATTTCAAATTCAATATTTTGATAAAAACTGTCTCAGTTAACTATATCTTAAACTAATTTTTTTTCTGGAATTTTGAAGCTTTTCATATTACCAACCTACACTATACTGAGATCAGAAGCCACTGTGTGAATTCTTATACACAAGGAGGAACAAGGAAATAACTGTATATTATAAAATTTATACAATACAAAGATCAAAGTCCTGATTTAAGTTAATTCTTTAAAAGCTGCATTTTAAAGTTTTAAAATAACACATTGTACATACTGTTTGTTTATGGAGAGAAGATAATAATCACTAAACTAAATATAACATCCAAATTTTGCCATACGAAATATGATAAGGAGTATGAAAGGTTGGTTTAGTTTTAGTTTGTTTAAGATCCTATTAACAGCTGAGGTCATTTAATGACGTGCCTCCATGTGTGTTGTGTAAGTGTGCATACATGTATGCATGCCGGAGACAAGGTATGTTGGTGTATTTGCTCCCTGTGACAGTGTGGATCTGATACCGACTTTATAGTGCTATCCTACGGATACTGTTACAACAACTCTTATCTCAACCTTGTATCTAGGATAATACAACACGGAGACTCACCCTGCTGTCTGGCACAGTGACTAAAAAGTACACAGAATTGTTGGGAACAAACTGAGAGGCATTTAATGTGATGTTACCACTGCCACTGTATCGCCCAGCTCCTCCTCCTGTCAAAAACAAAGGGACATAATCCATACAACATACAGACCAATTTGCATGTCATTGGTAGTCAAATTAAAATGTTCATAGCATTTTAATTAAAATATTTTAAGATTCTCTTGAAAATTAAATAACCTAACAGTGCAGAGGTCAGTGATACCACAGGTACCTTCCTTATTATTATTTGGATAGTTTTTCTGTCAATCTAAAATAGCTGTCACACAAAATCATTCACTTAAAAATTAAAAGCTAGTTAAAACCACAATTCAATACATTTCAAATTTGGTTGGTTACTTGAGGGCCATTAAAGGGGAAGTGACCAAAATTTCATGTGCAATTTCTGTTGGTAAAATTAACACAACTTAAATGAAATGTTCCCATAAACCACCCGATGAATGCCAAGCACCGTCTTGACAAACAGTGTGCCTGCCGCTCAATCAAATTATTGCTGAGTTATAGTACAAGATTTATTTAAATTCCTGGTTTGACAGAGGTGTTTAACCTGGTTTGGGATCTAGTTTTAAAATTTTTTTGAGTTCTACATCATGCATAATACTTCTGTAACAACATTTCCCCAATTTATTTTTATGCAGCTACAGTTATGGTTTAACTCCTATTAAATCACAAGACCCTCTAAGAAATATCTTTCTTGCTATACAGAGTACATGTTCAGCCCTTTTTTTAATTGATTAAGTTATCTCCCTTGGCTTCTTATAGCACCTGGCCTGTAGTCATTAAGGTGGCTCCACACTTTCGCAATTAACCAGCAAAATTCGTTGAAACTTTCATATAATGGTTATGCAACTATGTAGAGTTAATTCTATGAAAATCTAAACATTCCGATAGTTTGGGGAATTTTTAGGAAAAAATACCAAAAAATTGAATTTTCGCCACTTTTAATATTTTCCGGTTTTTTTTGTGTGTGGCATTGTTCGGAACAATAAAAACAATAAAAAAATGAAAAGAAGCATTTATAATTAATCCTACAAATATTTTAGTTATCGCAAAATATGTAACACATGTTACACAAAGTGTTTTTTATTGAATTTGAACGGATAAAAGTGATTATCTACAAGCTAAAAGCAAACAGGACACACAGATCTATACATATAGAGTGGGAAATTGAACAAAATATACACAATGGCTTTATAATTAATTTATTTTACATTTTACAATCACTTTGATCCGGGGGAGAGTTATCTTCCTTGAAAAAAATCGGAACTTTTTGCAGAGGGATGACATTTACACAATGACAGTTGTCTCTGTTTACATATAACAAATGATGGAAATAAATCAAAAATATGATATCAAAATTATCAATTTATTGTTCTTTAATGGAACCAAATTACCCTCAGTCATGTACACTTTGGACATCATTCCACAGTCCGCTAACTCACGGTATATTTATAATTACATGTCAGGTACATATGTGACCAGAGGCTATCGCATGGTATGCCGTTCTCACGTGCCCTCACACATGCATTTCATAGGTATCTTGATATTTTACAAAACATTATTTTCACAGAGTAAGTAGACTACATTTGTAAACACGATTTAATCGACAGAGCGAAACTCCCTCAGCTTATGAACTCGTGTAAGCATGTGATATGCACATATGAGGTTGGTACGTCCGCATTCCATGTGTTTCCTATATGACCTTCTTGAGGTGGTCTGGGCTCATGTCACTCTCTTCCCGTGAGTCTGTTTATGTCAATGAATTGGAAAGCTTTATTCCTGAAGTACGTGTGATTATACATTTCCCGGTAAAATCTTGATATCGGGTGTTGACATATCATCGGCACGCACGTGTACTATTGTTTACCAGGGGCCTGTTCGTTTATGCAGAACAACCGGTTTGACCGTTTATAAATGTAACAATTCCGGGTATAAATCCTGGCGGACCTACAAATGTGTATGCAAGACTTGCAAGGCTTTCTCAAGGCTCGCCTGAAAGCAGCATCAGATAACTAGGTCCTACCTTATTTAATAAACGAACAACAGTGGTCCGATCGGTTTGACCGTTTAAACACAACGGCCCAGGTGTTACTATAATTTGCACTACGATATTGAATATCCGATACGCAAAACGGAAATGACGACACGGTGTACATGCACATTTCGATCAAGATAATTGAGTCCGAGCTGTACTTTTTCCGGAAGTACGTCACGAAAATGGACGCTGATGACGATGTGTCGAGCCACCTTAAACCAACTCAGAATATTGTGCTCAAGTGAAATTCTTCTCCCAGCACCGAGTTGATAAAATTCTCATTTGGTCAATGATTTTAATAATTTAAGGGGAACCTAAAATCTGAATACAGAAGTGTTAAAATTTGATTTTTAAGAAAGTTACAAGAAATCCATTCTTGAGCACAAGAACCATTTCCTGAATATGGGTCCTTATGCATCCCATGCCCTTACTTTGATGCTATATTATGTGGAGTTATCTTCCCTTACCTTGTAGCTTGATGTTTAAATACGAAGAGTTCATTGCCCTTACCTTGATGTTCACTAATAACTTCAACATTTTCTACACTTTCTTTTAATGTTTGGAATTTCCCTTACCTTGTTGTTATCATATACATTATGTGGAGTTCTCTCCCTTGACTTGATGTTCACTTAAAGCTGAAAGTTATCTGCCCTTTCTTTTAATGTCTGGGATCTGCCCTTACCTTGATGTTTTAAATCTAGCTTCACAATTCTAATAGCCAGACTAGTCTCCAATCTGATCTGTACTAGCATTTTGTTTCCACTCGTTATAATCAGCTGACCTGTAGGAAAGTATAAAAAACTAATCAATATACTTAATATTTGTTTAAATTGATTTCATAACATCATTTCAGGTCAGGTTCTGAGAAAAATAACATTTATAAGTTGAAATAAATTATTTTTGGAGGGGAAACTCATTGATATTAAGAGTAAAATGTTGTATAGTTGCCAACTATACAAACTATTTCAAATATTTACGAGTCTCTCCAAATCATTATATATAATGTGTCAAACATACAAGTATCTGACAATGATTTTTTACCGTTCTGGCTATTAGAGACAAGACTTGCTATTTGTGGGGAGCTCTGACTGCCCCCATCCCGCAGTGTGACAGAGTCGCCTCCCCCTGCCAGCACCAGGTCCTTCACCATTGCCACCAGGGTGGTCTTCAATGGCGAAGTAACAATGACAAGGCAATCCAGTGGAAAGCTTGGCGTGGATGGAAGGGAGAAGTGGAATGGCTGACTATCATTGACATCTATTTGTCTGGTACAGACTGAAAACATAAACATTAAACACGATGATCTATCTGATACCGGATGTTAACAGCAATCTCGAGTATAAACAAATAGACAGAAAGTATACATGATATAAGGACTACAGTCTTCAAAGGAGAAAATCAGTAAAACCGATGGATTTCGTCTGTGTGACCACTATACAGGCCCTAAGTGGTATGCGACACACCATCCAACCATCCTATGTACATTGCACGAATTTCATTGAGATACCCACAGAAAGTAAGAAGCTACTGTAAAGACAATGAATTTCACCTTTGATCTCAATGAGCGTCAATATGACCTTGACTTTAGGCATACAGACCCAATTGTGGTTCGTGACGCACTGCCTTGTCATCCTTTGTATATTTCTGAAATGTTATCTTAATAGTTATCTTAAAGGAGTAACAAGAGGCCCATGGGCCTTACGGTCACCTGAGTTATGTAAAAACTGATGTTATCGATGTTGCCAAATAAAAAAGAAATCATTTTGTAACAAAGGTAACTTGAACTACATGTAATGCAAAAATAGTGTGAAAGATCTGGGTAGTATATGTACTATGAAGAGCATTTGATTCTACCATATTTGGATCTTGAGAAGAAGATTTGAAATTTTAGTCAATTTGACCCTTTTTGGTCCCCGCCCCTCAGGCCCCTGGGTGCTGGGCACCATATAATTCACAATTTTGGTTGACCTTTAGCCATGGAAGGTTTCTGCAAAATTTCATTGAAATTGGTTCTGTGGTTTTGGAGAAGAAGTCAAAAATGTAAATTGTTTACGGATGCACGACGGACGATGACGGACAAAAGGCAATCGCAATAGGTCACTTGAGACTTTGTCTCAGGTAAAGACTCAGGTGACCTAAAAATGTATGACCTTGATGATGAACTTGACCTTAAACCTAAATGAGATATTTTCAGCTAGTCAGAATTGATGGCCCAGACAATGAATTTGATCTTTGACCTTAATGTGACATTGACCCTTGAGTAGTACCTGACACACAGCCATGCCATCCTACAAAAGAAAAATTCTTCACAAAAAATCATTTAGCTGTCTTCAGCGAAATCGAATCAGTAGTTATGGCCAGAACAGAAAGCATGCAAGAACAATTGAGAGACAGAAAAAGTGTGAGGATAGTGGGTCGGGCAAAAGACATGATATACAATGATATACCCCTGTTTCATTCAATCTACCTACTCAAACAAATCCCTTCCTTTGTGTACATCAACCTATGATGTCCTTTCCATGTGACAGGTTACATAAAGATCCAACGGCCAGTAAAGGAAGAGTATTGCTTTCTAAGTTTCTGGAGCAGTCAAATATTGTAGTTTCAAGGGCAATAACTCCAGGAAAAATAGTAAAATCGTAAATTCATTTCTCCATGTTCATCTAAATATGAGGTACTTTCACTGTGCTATGTTTAAATATGAAAATGTTAAGGAGAAGTAGCACTTAAAATGTTTTTGGAGCAGCAACTTAAAGCTTCAATGATGATAACTCCAGGAAAAAAGGTCCAATCACAAATTCCTTTGTTCATGAACATCTACATATGATGTTAGTTGGCCTAGGTTACAAAAATGTCAACACACGGTTAAGGAGGATTTATGCTTATGAGCTCATGGACAGACAGTCAAACAGTGATTCCTATATATCCTTGCAAACTTTGGGTTCTTTGAGTAACAACAAGAGCTAGACAGAAAACATGTTAGGACAACAGACAGAAAACCTACAGAGTAGTTGGTGGCGATATTGTTTGTACCTACCTGGATCCGCCTCCATCATGAAAGCCTTAAAATGCTGTGATGCTGTGTTGTTTTCCAGGGCTATGGTGAGAGACAGATTTCCGTTGGTGCCAAGCAGAAGGTCCTGAGGTACATTGATGCCTGTCAAGAAAAACACATCTCTGACACATACCATCAATCTTCACTTAACAATACAGTGTAATTTACCTATATAACAATGTGGTTTTACACACAAACAGGAGTTCCTTTTAATGGTTACAGGTTTATTTGTTTAGCACAATTTGTTGACAACACAGTTGAACTTTCTTCGCTCTGTGTATGGTACAGAGCCACGATGAACTGATGCCGTCAAATGTCTATTAACCCCTACTAAATACAGTCTGTACCTGTGAGAGGGGACTGGTGTTATTATGTTTATACTTTACCTTTTAATGTATGACTTATTTTGCCATTCTCGACGATTAGTGAACCTTTTACAAGGCTGAAGTCTGTGAAGGACATAACGGAGGTCCTGCTGTCGGTTGGCAACGTCATCTGATAGACACATTTCACTGGACCTGTCCCCGGCAGGTAGATAGGGGAGACAATCGGCTTTGTCCACTCTATCTCCTTGGTACAGTCTGTAATACACATTGATCATTTCAATTATTATTAATCATAAAAGAATTTCTTTTAAATTAATCTATTGCATATGTCAATACAGATTGGATTGATAAACAGTGTTTTAGGGATTCAGCCTGATAATATTGAGGTGGTATAATTTCGGATGATACATACATGTATATCTAATAGGGTGACACATCAAAAGTTGAACCAGATTGGGGTGACTTATCAGTTTTGTACACAAATAAATCCATCACACATTAATACAGTTGATTCTAATGTCAAAGTATTTATAACTTGAATAATGAACTTTAACATCCTGGTAAATTATGTCAGAATAAACAACCATAGGATAAAAAAAATATTTTAGAAATAGATGCAAGATAAGAGACAGACAGACAGACAAAGAGATAAACAATATACCAGACATATACAGTGGACACTGTCTCACTGGTATAATGAAAGTATCGCAGCGAGCATTTAGCTCAACACTGGAGCACAACTGAACCCAATGTAACTTAACAGACAATCTTGTATCTGCAATATGTTAGTATAAAGGAAACATGGGACCAGAACAGAGACTACAGAATAGACAGAGTTCAGATCAGGGCCAGACTACAGAATAGACAGAGTTCAGACCAGGGCCAGACTACAGAATAGACAGAGTATGTAATATTTATATATATATATTATAGATGGGTGATCAGTTACTTGAGTATGTAGCATAAAAGGCAGGTAAACAAGTACCTGGTTATGTAACATGTGACTTGCTCCCTGTATGACATGTTGACCTACCATAGTACCATGTGACAGTCCATAGTGTTACATGATCATCTTTAACATCATTTGGACATACTTAATGTCATGTGATCATCTTTTGTGTCATGTGATCATCTTTAGTATCCTGTGATCATCTTTAGTATCCTGTGATTATTTTATAATAGTGTCATATGATCATTGTTAGTGTCATGTGATCGTCGTTAGTGTCATGTGATCATCGTTAGTGTCAATTGTGATCATCTTAAGTGTCCTGTGATCACCTTAAGTCATAGTGTCATGTAATCATCTTTAACATCATGTGAACACGCTTTATGTAAGATTTAACATACCTCCTGCATTGAAGTCGACTAGCAGGGATCCCTGAGAAGAATTTTTATTTTGAAAGACAATAGAGGTCACTTTGCTTGCAGAGATCACCACCTGTTCAGACGCTGTAAATAAAGACAGATAATAAAATCTTCAGAACAAACACATGATTGTAACACAATATCGAACACGAAGATCATGAATATTGTAACAACATATTGTTTAGATCTTTCTCTTTATTTTATTTGAATAGGAAAAAGTTGAATACTGAATTTTCTCAACTGATATTGAACATTTTCAACTGAACATACCATAATGATATGTCAAAATCATTCAAGACAAATAAGGGAATCATGTTCCATAATAAGAAAAGAAGAATTTTGTTCTGTGATCACATCATGTTAAAACTTTTTCAGAATATATAATTTTTTTGATTGGATAAATTAAAAGGTGTCATACATATATATCATACCATTTTATACATAAATTACAGGTGTAAATGGTGAGTACAGGTGAAATCAGGATACCAGTGTCACCAGAATACAGGTGTAATCAGGATACCTGTGTCACCAGAATACAGGTGTAATCAGGATACCTGTGTCACCAGAACACAGGTGTAATCAGGATACCAGTGTCACCAAAACACAGGTGTAATCAGGATACCAGTGTCACCAGAATAAAGGTGTAATCAGGATACCAGTGTCACCAGAACACAGGTGTAATCAGGATACCTGTGTCACCAGAACACAGGTGTAATCAGGATACCAGTGTCACCAGAATAAAGGTGTAATCAGGATACCAGTGTCACCAGAATACAGGTGTAATCAGAATGCCAGTGTCACCAGAATACAGGTGTAATAAGGATACCAGTTTCACCAGAATACAGGTGTAATCAGGATACCAGTGTCTCCAGAATAAAGGTGTAATCAGGATACCAGTGTCACCAGAATACAGGGGTAATCAGGATACCTGTGTCACCAGAACACAGGGGTAATCAGGATACCTGTGTCACCAGAACACAGGGGTAATCAGGATACCTGTGTCACCAGAATAAAGGTGTAATCAGGATACCAGTGTCACAAGAATAAAGGTTTAATCAGGATACCAGTGTCACCAGAATACAGGGGTAATCAGGATACCTGTGTCGCCAGAATACAGTTGTAATCAGGATACCAGTGTCACCAGAACACAGGTGTAATCAGGATACCTGCGTCACCAGAATACAGGTGTAATCAGAATACCAGGGTCACCAGAATACAGGTGTAATCAGGATACCAGTGTCACCAGAATACAGGTGTAATCAGGATACCTGTGTCGCCAGCTTTGTAAGTCTTGATGATGTTCGCCTTGGAGCTGTTGGACTTGTAGTAGTGGCCCGAATAGACGATGATGGAGCTATTTGCGTCGAGGAAACTGATACTGAGAAAGAGGTTGGTACGATTGTTGCTGTCACGTTGTATGTACCATACACACGTCTGGTTAGTGATGTCAGAAAAGTTAACGTTGATCGGTGAGTCCACACTCGCATTGTACTGGCCCCCACACAGGTCCAACAAAGCTATTGTAACAACAAAGATAGCTGATAATGCATATACCAACACAACTTCATGATAAAGACTAACAACATACTATAGACTAACAACATACTATAGACTAACAACATACTATCAACTAACAACATACTGTATAGACTAACAACATACTATAGACTAACAACATACTATATAGACTAACAACATACTATAGACTAACAACATCCTATATAGACTAACAACATACTATAGACTAACAACAGACTAAACGCCATAATATAGACTAACAACATACTATAGACTAACAACAGACTAAACGCCATAATATAGACTAACAACATACTATAGACTAAAAACATACTAAACGCCATAATATAGACTAACAACATACTATAGACTAACAACAGACTAAACGCCATAATATAGACTAACAACATACTATAGACTAACAACATAATATAGACTAACAACATACTATAGACTAACAACATACTATAGACTAACATACTATAGACTAACAACATACTATAGACCAACAACATACTTTAGACCAACAACATACTATAGACTAACAACATACTATAGACTAACAACATACTATAGACTAACAACATACTATAGACTAACATACTATAGACTAACAACATACGATATAGACTAACAACATACTATAGACTAACAACATACGGTATAGACTAACATACTATAGACTAACAACATACTATAGACTAACATACTATAGACTAACAACATACTATATAGACTTACAACCTTATACAGACTAACAACATAATATAGCTGAGGTACATTTTGCTGTCAAATTGGTTGAATTTTAGTAACCTGTAACCTACCAATTGATCAATATGGTTACCAAGTAATGAAGAGAATCGAAAACAGTGCTTTTACTACATAATGTAGCCATGTACATCAAACAATTTAAGTATGAAACCACAGTTAAATACTTTTACAACAAGGTGCAAGAATAAACGAAATGCATAACAAGTTATGTTACTCAAAATCACATATGGGAACACTTTGGTAGAGAAGTAAAATTTATTTGACAAAACTCATTCATGGATCCTTGCACTTGAAATGTGATCTTTTGATGACATAACTTATTGCACATCCCACAAAATATATGTAAGTTGACTAAGTACCATCACCATGGTAATCAGACTGACCATGTACCATCACCATGGTAATCAGACTGACCATGTACCATCACCATGGTAATCAGACTGACTAAGTACCATCACCATGGTAATCAGTTTGACTATGTAACATACCCTGGTAATCAGATTGACTAAGTACCATCACCATGGTAATCAGATTGACTAACTACCATCACCATGGTAATCAGATTGACTAAGTACCATCACCATGGTAATCAGATTGACTAAGTACCATCACCATGGTAATCAGACTGATCATGTACCATCACCATGGTAATCAGATTGACTAGGTACCAGCACCATGGTAATCAGATTGACTATGTACCATACCATGGTAATCAGATTGACTAAGTACCATCACCATGGTAATCAG